ATAACTTGGAAAATTAAAAAGACAAGCTGTATAATTTCCCTTTCAGCCTTAAAAAAATGTTTTCGCTTTTTTCTTCATTAAACCATGAACAGTATAAAATTTAAAGTGTATTCAATTGGATAAAAATAATTCTCAGAATTCTGTTTTAAATTAACATTTAATGTTCTTTTATGTTCTTTTTTGTACAATATTTTATTTATCGGCAATATGTATTTATGAAATATAAATTTATACACTGAAAAGTCTTAATATTTGTCCATTTTAATATAATACATGATAATAAATATTAATATTAATAAATATAGTTTTTTTTTAATCTGTTGAAGCGAGATAACCCTGGCTTAACTACGAGGTGAACCTTTATCATGGTTGCTCCCCTTTGACCGTAATTTTTTTATTTTTTCTTGTAACATTGAAATTCAAAGAGAGATAACTTGGGAAATTAAAAAGACAAGCTGTATAATTTCCCTTTCAGCGATGAAAAATGTTTTCGCTTTTTTCTTCATTAAACCATGAACAGTATAAAATTTAAAGTATATTCAATTGGATTAAAATAATTCTCAGATTTCTGTTTTAAATTAACATTTAATGTTCTTTTTTTTATGTTCTTTTTTGTACAATATTTTATTTATCGGGCAATATGTATTTATGAAATATAAATTTATACACTGAAAAGTCTTAATATTTGTCCATTTTAATATAATACATGATAATAAATATTAATATTAATAAATATAGTTTTTTTTTAATCTGTTGAAGCGAGATAACACTGGCTTAACTACGAGGTGAACCTTTATCATGGTTGCTCCCCTTTGACCGTAATTTTTTTATTTTTTCTTGTAACATTGAAATTCAAAGAGAGATAACTTGGGAAATTAAAAAGACAAGCTGTATGATTTCCCTTTCAGCGATGAAAAATGTTTTCGCTTTTTTCTTCATTAAAGCATGAACAGTATAAAATTTAAAGTATATTCAATTGGATTAAAATAATTCTCAGATTTCTGTTTTAAATTAACATTTAATGTTCTTTTATGTTCTTTTTTGTACAATATTTTATTTATCGGCAATATGTATTTATGAAATATAAATTTATACACTGAAAAGTCTTAATATTTGTCCATTTTAATATAATACATGATAATAAATATTAATATTAATAAATATAGTTTTTTTTTAATCTGTTGAAGCGAGATAACACTGGCTTAACTACGAGGTGAACCTTTATCATGGTTGCTCCCCTTTGACCGTAATTTTCTTATTTTTTCTTGTAACATTGAAATTCAAAGAGAGATAACTTGGAAAATTAAAAAGACAAGCTGTATAATTTCCCTTTCAGCCTTAAAAAAATGTTTTCGCTTTTTTCTTCATTAAACCATGAACAGTATAAAATTTAAAGTGTATTCAATTGGATAAAAATAATTCTCAGAATTCTGTTTTAAATTAACATTTAATGTTCTTTTATGTTCTTTTTTGTACAATATTTTATTTATCGGCAATATGTATTTATGAAATATAAATTTATACACTGAAAAGTCTTAATATTTGTCCATTTTAATATAATACATGATAATAAATATTAATATTAATAAATATAGTTTTTTTTTAATCTGTTGAAGCGAGATAACCCTGGCTTAACTACGAGGTGAACCTTTATCATGGTTGCTCCCCTTTGACCGTAATTTTTTTATTTTTTCTTGTAACATTGAAATTCAAAGAGAGATAACTTGGAAAATTAAAAAGACAAGCTGTATGATTCCCCTTTCAGCGATGAAAAATATTTTCGCTTTTTTCTTCATTAAACCATGAACAGTATAAAATTTAAAGTGTATTCAATTGGATAAAAATAATTCTCAGATTTCTGTTTTAAATTAACATTTAATGTTCTTTTATGTTCTTTTTTGTACAATATTTTATTTATCGGCAATTTGTATCTTATGAAATATAAATGTTTACACTGAAAAGTCTTAATATTTGTCCATTTTAATATAATACATGATAATAAATATTAATATTAATAAATATAGTTTTTTTTTAATCTGTTGAAGCGAGATAACACTGGCTTAACTACGAGGTGAACCTTTATCATGGTTGCTCCCCTTTGACCGTAATTTTTTTATTTTTTCTTGTAACATTGAAATTCAAAGAGAGATAACTTGGAAAATTAAAAAGACAAGCTGTATAATTTCCCTTTCAGCGATGAAAAATGTTTTCGCTTTTTTCTTCATTAAACCATGAACAGTATAAAATTTAAAGTGTATTCAATTGGATTAAAATAATTCTCAGATTTCTGTTTTAAATTAACATTTAATGTTCTTTTATGTTCTGTTTTGTACAATATTTTATTTATCGGCAATATGTATTTATGAAATATAAATGTTTACACTGAAAAGTCTTAATATTTGTCCATTTTAATATAATACATGATAATAAATATTAATATTAATAAATATAGTTTTTTTTAATCTGTTGAAGCGAGATAACACTGGCTTAACTACGAGGTGAACCTTTATCATGGTTGCTCCCCTTTGACAGTAATTTTTTTATTTTTTCTTGTAACATTGAAATTCAAAGAGAGATAACTTGGAAAATTAAAAAGACAAGCTGTATAATTTCCCTTTCAGCGATGAAAAATGTTTTCGCTTTTTTCTTCATTAAACCATGAACAGTATAAAATTTAAATGGTTGCTCCCCTTTGACCGTAATTTTTTTATTTTTTCTTGTAACATTGAAATTCGAAGTGAGATAACTTGGGAAACATTTTTTAAATTTTCTTTTAGCGCTGTTTTCCATCTTTTTTCCCACGTTTTCTTTAACTTGCTTTCTCTGTGTGTTTATTTGTTTGTCTTTCCAATCAAATCTTGCGATCGAAATTTCTGGCACTTCCCAGTTAGCTAGCGCGCTGAAATTTTCAGGGAAGCTTTCTTTTGGATGACCATTGAATATTCAATTGTTATTATTACTAAATTGATCAATGGAAACATTTTATTGAGCATTTTAGACCGCTATATAATCTATATATATAATTCTCCTCTGCTAGCCATTAGAAAAAAAACCAGCGACGCGTACCTCGCGCGCAGTGAAGCGAACGATCACATGTCGCCACAGGCTTAGGGGCAGAGAATTTAGCTTGAACCGAGTTTAAACTTACAGGAGGTAGGCCAGTTTGGGGGAGACGATATGGTCGAGTGGTTGGGCACACGATTGCTATCCCACTCGACACGGGTTCAAATCTATGTGTTCTAGTCAGTAACGTATTCAAACAACGTGTTTTTTACGAGTTGTCTTTTTACGAGTTGTCTTTTTACGAGTTGTCTTTTTACGAGTTGTCTTCGTTTACCCAAAAAAAGTGAAAAGATAAAATCGATAGCAAGATTTTAATGCAAACAAACAGACAAAGACTAAAAAGTAGAAAATAATAATCATTAAAAAAGTTTTAAAAAACCCACGTTTTCTGATTGAACTAAAAAGTAGAAAATAAACGCTATACATCACAATAATGCAAGCGATCACTCTACTATAAGCGATCAAAAACGTGGGGCGCCGTCATTTTCTTACAGTTTCTAATACTGTTGACTCTCTACAAGCTCCCTAATAAAAGTCAATAGTATTATCTAATCAATAGTAATATAACTTTTACTTCGGCGCCCCACGTTTTTCATCGCTTATAGTAGAGTGATCGCTTGCATTATTGTGATGTATAGCGTTTATTTTCTACTTTTTAGTTCAATCAGAAAACGTGGGTTTTTTAAAACTTTTTTAATGATTATTATTCTTGATTAAAATTCATGAACAGTTTGAGGTGTATTCAATTGGATTAAAATAGCCCTTACATTTTAATTTTAAATGAACATTCAAATAAGTTTTCCTTAAAAATATTATTTATAGAAAATATGTGTTATTAAATATTAATTTGTATAGTAGCCTATTTAAAAGTATTAATAATTATATATTTTTGTAATAATCAATATTTTTCTTAATAATTCTCAATATATTTATTAACATAGAAATATTCGAGCGAAATAACTAAAATAAGAGATGAAACATTTTCACGTTTGCCCGCCGTTTACCTTTTGCCCGATACCTTTACCTCCCCTAAATTTAAAATAGTTTCAAACTATATTATCTGCCCCTGAGAGGCGTCATTAAACCCGGCTCTACGGTTGTAAAATATTTAGCGTGAACCAAAGGTCACCAGACCATGTGGGGTGGGGGTGGTTAATTTATGCATAGTGAAGAAGAGAGGGGACTGCAAGGCGCGCTTACAGCTTGTTTTCTAGGGTCTCCAAGAAGAGAATATAATTATATATATAGATTGTATCTAGTCATAAAGTTTCACTTTAACAAAGACATCAATAATTGTGAGCACCAATACATAAACTTGATAATACCATAGCTGTTATTCAACTTATAGCTGGACTGGATATGCAGAAATGTGTATAAAATGTGGTGTATTGTATTTAGTGTAAAGCACCCACATCTAAGTGCAAGCCATTCACCGATGTAGCAAAATCTTAAACCAGGATCTCCTGGAAGTACTGCAGCACTAAACTTTTAGTTTGGGAGGACTTTGTACCCATCACATGACAAGCATTGACTAGGAAAAAAAAGTAGACCAACACTTTGTTTATTTACACTATTTTGTTTAATTGTTGAGATATGATGACATAATGAGAGTTTATCATTGCACATTAGGGGTCTCTGTACACATAGGACACACAGCAACAATACACCTAAAGAAGAAGCAGCCAAGAACGATAACCGCTAAGTTAATTTTGATTACTTCCCTTTCAATAAGTTCACAATATCTGTCAAAACATATTTTAAAAATAACCATCACACAAACATGCATTCACGTTAAATTCAAGTTAAATTTTCCAACCAAATAGTTAAAATGCTAAATGCTAACAAAAAGATTACAAAAATGATAACAGCATGATAATCAAAGTTGTGTTCATGTTTTTTTTAAATATACAATGGAAAACCTAGCCCATTTTATATCAATGTTACATTTCACTAATAAGAAATTATTTTTTATGATAAAGTAGATTTTGTTCAGGAACATAACAATGCACTAAATTAATTAAACCCATCCCTTATCTATTTTCCAATCCTAGTTTTTTATCTATGAACTTGACGGACCAACAACATGACAACACAGATACCAACCAACCTATCAAGAACCTTAATACTTTGATTGGATACAACTAAACACTGTCTAACATTAAGTGTGCTGTGCATCTTCTATTACACTCCATTCATACAACTAATGGGATTAAATATAAAGTATTGGGTTTAAAAAAAAACATCAGTAGAAAACTAGGTTTTGTTAGTCAATAAAATGTTACAACTGCCCACACTTCAAAAGTTGTTCTAGTGATCAGCTGATAAATAGTTGTATTTGTACATATATTAACAAGCTAGAAGGAGGGGAGGGGATTATACACAAGCATAGGGGGGCACCAAAAGCAAGCTGTTATATTCACAAATATATTTATATATGTATAATATGTACAAGCTAACGCAAACAGGTATTCATATAGCTCACACAGAAAATCTAGGAGAGAAATCACATCTATGTTTGGCACACACTCACTTTCTATCAATCAACCTAATTAGTTCAAAGCTAATTGGTTGAGAGGGTCTATGTTTGACATTATCTGGTTACTAAAATAAATTTGGGCTACTCACACAACTAAATGATCAATAGTCTAGGACATTATTCAATGTCCTAGTGTAGGAACAAAAATGTAAGGTCCTGTAAGGGTTAAAATAAACTAACCCCCTATCTTCATCTCCTTTAAAAAAAAAATCTATCACACAACTTTTTTTTTTTAATAATAAAAATGTACACAATCTCTCACAATTACAACATCTCTACTGTCACAGTCCACCCAGTTCTTCCATTATAAATGTATCTGAATAGAAACACAATGAATAGCATTATATACAATTTGACAAAACTGCACAGCCAAAACAAAAAAAAATGCTTAAGTCACAAAAATAGCAACTTAAAAGTCAAAAGCCATTTCTTAAAATAGGTATCCAAGCATAAGAAAGCAATCAGACATTGAATGTCATTCATTAGACCAATCTCTCATATAGATAAGTGTAACTTGTTTATAGAAGATAATTGATTAAATACCATCAAGTAATCACATGGATATACACAGGTGTCTGTCTACTCAACAACATCAGCAAATAAATAGCTACACTACAACATTGTAATCCATCTATTAGCCAGATATAATGGAACCCAATATAAAAACTGAAGCTGCGCTACATCTACCCTAGTATCTCTGAATAACATTTCTATTTTTTTTAATAATGTGCTCTAGGAATGGTTCTGGGGGGGTTACAATGAGTACACAATTGTTTTTAAAAAAATGTTAACATTTTACACCCATTTTGTGATACATATCTTACAATAAATGCTTCTTGATAAGTAATTCACTGGAAGTTAAGTTCTAAATGCATCAGATAATTAAATTATACACTGAAAAAAAAATAGAATAGAACGAGAATAAAAAGGAGCACATGAATTAAGCCACTGGGCCATCTACATCTAAGATAGTTGGAAAAAAATGAAATAAGTAGAGGCACGTTGATAAAGGGAACCATGAGAACTGGTCAAATGTCTTACAAGCCCACCCCAGCACTGATCTTGTGGCTGAAAGCACTCTAGGTATCACGGATCTGACACGCAACTCTACAGGAGAGGATGGGCTTCTTGCAGTCAGATCACAGCACAAAAGGAAGCTCTTAGTTCATCAAGTGTAGATGACAACAGGTCAATTAACATGTTAGCCAGATCTTCATTTACACCTGCCTAATTAAATTTTTTCTAAAACAGTCACACCACCATATCTTGATATTAAATCACTCTTTAAATTAATTCCATCTCATTCTATTAATTCCCAATTATTATGTTTCCTTAAGGAATGAAAAAAAAAGTCTCAGCTCTTGACATGTTATGCCCTATATATCCCTACAAGAGTGAGACGTACATCAACTGTCAGACAAATCACAGTATAGAAATAGAGAAAACTGGCACTAGACTCTGATACACATAGCTCACACCTCCCAGTGGTTTGAAATACAGTGACAGATTGTTTTAGCACAACAGACCATCTGGATATAGACATCAAAACCTCAGAGATTTAAATAGTTTTAAGTAATGTTACTTGTTCTTTTTATTAAAGTACGAGTAAAAATGAAAATACATCTGTCATAATCACAAAGCTACCATATTCGATGGGTGTAAAGAAAGTAGATGGGTAGATCAGGAAAATAGATGGTGTGTCGATGATTAAGTGTCAAGAAAATACAATGTAGCACAAGCCAATATTGAAATCACACACTTCAGCAGATGATAAAAAATGTTTTAAGATTTGGTTAAGTAAAATTTGAAAACAACCATTGTTAGGTCCACTGGAGGAATGGTGCTCAAAAACAACATGAATGTTCTACCGCAGGATTTGTCAAGTAACAACTTGCCCACTACATGTGGCTTCATTAAAATATAACCTGGCAATCACACATGCTAATTACAGAAAACATGCAAAGCTGGTAGATAATTGTTACAATGGTCTCATTTGGGGTTGCTACAAAATTGATATCATGAAAAAAAAGGTAGTTATTGATCACACACCATTCCAAAAAATACAGGTAACTTAATTAATCCCCTTTAAAAGTGTTAGATGAATGGGTGACTTAAAAATGAAAGTTTGTCCTCAAGGTGGCTTTAATCTAAAATATGAGGTATGGAATGGGCTAAAAATAATTTCTAATTAATTTAAAATCATCATGAGAGAAGGAAGGGGGGGTAATAAACGTCAAATATTTTATCACAGTTTGTTTTTTTTCATTGACAAGTTTCTAAATGTTTAAATTATGAGTGGTTTTTAGTTAAGTGTGTTATAAGTGAAAAACTTGGATCCGCTAACTAGGTGCTTCCTTCTATAAATAGCCTTTAGAGATCCATCTAGTAGTGACAGGTCCAGGTGAGTGGAGACCTCAGAGGTGAGGTCAGAGCTGGGTGTTGTGTTGGGATGAGTCGGAGGTATCTGTCACGTTGGCTGGGGAGGACTGGTCCTCATAGACCAGGCTGTGTCTGTTGGAGCCAGGGGGAGACATGCTGCAGCTGGTGTTGGACATGGCTGAGTGACGCCAGTGACTGGCTGACTCCATACTGTCCTGGGGAGAGAGGAGTCACATGGCTGGTTAACATCAGCTCAACTTGCTTCAAGCTACTACCCCACAAAGCTACATTTCATATACAGTATAATACTTCATTCATTTTTAAGCATTTAACTTACAATAACAACTAACACCGGACCAACACTTGGGGAAATTCTGACAATTAAATGTCAGTTATTTAACAAATACTGTTCCATTGCACACTACACAATACTCTCATATAAAACAACAACACATGCAAGGGTGTTAAGTATTAAAAAATAAATCTACAAATTTGACAACAAATGGACATGCATGATTAGAACTTGATAAAACTTGTTATAATGAGCAAATGACAAAAATTAGACAATGAGAGATGAGACATATTGTTTACTTGTTAAAAAGCAATTGCTAACTTTTAAAACAAAATAAATGCATTACCAAAATTATTCAATATCAAGCGAGATTTGACCAAAAAAACTAAAGCTTTATTAGGAAGGATTAATAGTATTAAGTTTTTTTTCTAATAAATACTTTGAATAATATTTGGGATGGTTAGGAATTGGTAGTTATTCAATCGTTATGGATTATGGTTTTATTTTGTAAAATTAGACCAATATATATGTTCTATTTTAAGAAAAATAGAATGGTCGTAAAACTGCATGTCAGAAACAAAGGGAATCTGCCACAATGTTTACATCTTTTTAACTGACAAGTTAATTAACAAACACTAACAATTTAAAAGCCAAACTACTTAAAAAACTATTGAGCTGTGTAGATGATATTTGACCAAGATTTAATGAAGGCTTGTGCTAATGATCATAACTTCATTCATTCAAATCTTTCAAATACACCAGAAAGAAACGATTCCTCAGCATGAATGTGTTATTATTACCACAACACTGTTGTCAGTAGATACAATGAGAGTCATAAGAGTTTGACAACAATTAAAAGCTTTTTTTAGCAACTCTTTGATACTTTGCCTTAACAATTTACATTTTTGTTTTAAGTTAACCTTAAAACCAAATCATTTTAAAAAAATGTCTACCATAAAAGGTAGTGTAAAACCTAAAAATGTTGAGCCTCATGCACACCATATTTAATGCTTCACTGCAGGAAGAAAACAAAGGCTAAATGAAAGCAAGGGAGGAAACTAGGAGATATTTACAATCAATGGAAGGGTAACTCCAGGTGACAGCATCTGCCTAAAAAATCTCAGGGTTCATATGGAAGACTGCAACAACATAAAAATATTTCAGGGTTCACATAGGAGACAAACATAAAAAAAATCTCAGGGTTCACATAGGAGACAGCAACAACATAAATGAATTGGAATAAATCCTTAGTAAAACTGAGAAACCTTGGGTGTAGTGGTGCATCTCATTTGGTGGGTCGCAGGTCATTATTTGTGTCATTGTCAATAGAAAAATGTCAATTGTCAGGGCCATTGTCTCAGTGAAATAGGTCACATCTAGTGTAACACCTATAGCAAGTGGGGCAGGGTCACATGTCAATAAAAAGTGGGGCACTGTCACATGTCAATAAAAAGTGGGGCAGGGTCACATGTCAATAAAAAGTGGGGCAGGGTCACATGTAAATAAAGTGGGGCAGGGTCACATGTCAATAAAAAGTGGGGCAGGGTCACACTGTCAATAAAAAGTGGGGCAGGGTCACATGTCAATAAAAAGTGGGGCAGGGTCACATGTCAATAAAAAGTGGGGCAGGGTCACATGTCAATAAAAAGTGGGGCAGGGTCACATGTCAATAAAAAGTGGGGCAGGGTCACATGTCGATAAAAAGTGGGGCACGGTTAAATGTCAATAAAAAGTGGATGTCAATAAAAAGTGGGGCAAGGTCACGTCAATAGTAAGTGGGGCAATGTCACATCTAATAGCATGCAATACTGTGTGAAAAACTACATGAATACAACTTGAGGTAAGATTAAAAATGTGAATTAAAATACAGGTGTGGTGGGAGTGATATGTGGCTACAAGGAGTAATCAGCTAACATGGGCTAGAATGTGCTGGAGATTAAACACTGGGTCTACGTCAACATGCCAGGTCATGCGGTGAGCCACCAAGCTACACAACACACATCAGCAAAACAAAACAAGCCACTAGGAAGCAGGAAATGCTTCTGGTGGGAGAAAATGTGTAGTTACTGTGGTGACTGAAAAAACATGTCCTATAGTTAAACAGCTTCTTGTTAGCTCTCAGATTTGTCAAAAGCTGGCAAAGACCAGGAACTACCAGCGCCATTAAAAGCACTTCCAGAAGAGTTCATTATCTGTTTTGGAAGAAATAGTGGAGGGATTTATAACCAGGAAGCAAAAGGTTTTTGATGGATTTGAACCTTTGCCTTTCAGATTATTATTGCCTTCAATAAAGAACACATCCAACTTTCATAATGAATGTCCCTGGAAAACAATTCTTCTTTTATAACAAACGTTGCATTTATTAACAATTTGAACAAATTTGAGATCAATATAAAATTGTATACAATTTTTTATAAAAATTTGAGATCAGTAAAAATGTAACCAAAGAATGGTTTGAAACAAATGGTGACATGTGTGTGTATACATTTAGTAAGAGCTCTGAGAATCAGAAAATTGTAATGTCTGATAAAGGTTTGTAAGAAATTGATATAATAAACCTGATCAGGTAGAAAGATTACAAATACAGTTATATGGTGCAAGGTCTTTATACAGGTGTGTTATGTTATCAAAAAATGTTTACACTAAAACCTGATTATGTAACAAAAATACGGATTAGTAACTGACAACCTACATTATGATCACACCTGTTATAAAAATAGTCAGTAACTGATCATGTGTGTTGAGCATAGGCTAATTAGTTTTAAATACAGCTATACTCACTTCAAAAATTTGTGATGAGATTTCTTTTTCTAGACTGCTAGGCTCTTGGTCTTGAGTAGGAGGTGACTGAGACAGATCAACCCCTCCACCTCGCCCAGGCATGTTCAGCGGCAGTGACCTGCCCCTTCCCCTGCTGCCTGGTCGTGTGCTATCACTTCCTCTACTTACAGCATTGCCTAATTTTAAAATAAAAATTAATAGACATTAACTGGAGATTTTCATGGGGAAAAAATCTTTTATTATATTATATTTATATATTTTCTGTAAGTGAGAGCAAGTGATGAATACCTACGTACCATTATAATGTGAACTTGGACGCTGGTTTCTACTCTGTGCTTCATGTATAGACTTGAGTTGAGGCTGAAACATACTCTTGACTCTAGCCATCTCATCACCACCAGCTGAAGCTCCACCCTAGTCAAAGGGAATCAGTTGTATTATTTAGATTGGGACAAATGGTATTTCTCAACTGTGTAAAGTAATCAGTTTAATATCTATAAAATATCTATTGACAAAATATTATTAAAGATCAGTGCGGCAGATTTACATGGTATGTTGATTATGAAAAATAGAAATTTGTTAATTGTGTAGAAAGCTCAGAATAGCGTATATGTGAATCATTGAAATTCAAGGAATGATTATCCTCATTGCTTCTTGTTTACACTTTAAATTTCTGTTAGTCTCAGGAAGACAAGCTCACATTTCTACTACAATAATGTTCAAATTATGACAACAGGGGGGCGTCCCTAAATGAATCACCCTCCATTAAAGTGATATCTCACTTAGGGCAATAAAGCTAAATTTCAGTTTAAAAAATATCAAAGTTTATCATGGTTTCCTTAGCCCTCAGTCGCTGTCCCCCTCCCCAGCCTCGTAATAAGTCTGACCATACCCCCTCTATGTTTTACATGCGATATTTAATGACATTAAAAAAATCTTTTTCAACATGAGTAGTAGAGAGATTTTAACCACCAGAGGACTCAGAAAGTCCCAATATATCATAACATTTTTTTCTTACCTTAGGCAGATCTATAAGAACTTGATGACCTTGGTCTGGTCCCATATGGGCAACATGGCTAAAATTAGATGGAGGGGATATAACCCTTGATCTCCTATCACTTCTGAAAAATTGTAAAAATGAAGCATAAGAATGTTTTCATGCATAAATAATTTATAAAATACTTCTGGCTTTGACTTTTTTAAAACTATCTGATTGAAAATATTTAAAATGGTGTTAAAATGACAAAGAATAACCACTAGGTCTCATTTACTTGCACAAACTCAATACTTGTTTTAAACTCAATACTTTACAATCCTTTTTAAATTGATCAGAAGCAGTTAACAATTTTTTAAATTTAGACTGGCTGAAAAAGCATGACTGACTGTTTTTAAACTACATGCATGTTTGACATGCTTGTTTCTATGTTTATTGGGGGAACAGCTGTTTTTTGGCATGTGCTTGCTGTTGTGTTTGTTGGGGAATATTACATTGGTGTGTTTGGGGAATTGGTGTATTTGGTAGGTGCTAGCTTATTTGCTGTTTGAAGTGAATGAAATTAAGTGCTTGAGTATGAGCTAGTGCATCAGTACAAGTACCATTAGACTACTGGGACTACTTGAGATACACACTCATGACAAGTGGATGTACTAAGAGATGCCATTTTTAAATTGCCATTTGTAACTTGTATACTTTAAGTTTAAAACCAACATTAATTATTTTAACTTTAATGCTAAAACAATATAAATATATATGTTTGGATAAAATTTTAAAATTTGATATTTAAATTTATGACTTTGTTGATAAATGATGATGTATCCTTTTGAACACATTTAAAAATGTTTTAACATCTAATCAATGTCGTATAACCTTTTTAGGGATAGTACATGTACAAAATTAAACAAATAACTATTTAAAAACAAATGTCACTAAAATAGATATTAAAATTCTTGCAACTGTCTGTGGGTCCACATAAAAGTCAGTTTAAAAAACTTTAGAGCTTAGAAAACATGCTGACAAGATGCAAACTTTTTTAAGGGGAAAGCAAACCATAGGCCATAGGCTTATCAGGAAATGTTGAGAGGAAGTAAGAAAGTGTCTGTTTAATTACCCGGAGAAGTAGGTCTAATATTTAATTCTGTAATTTTTAAGATCACAACACATGGAAAAAAATACTGCCCGGTAATTGCTTTCCCCTAATGAAAGGTCTTAAAAGGTATAAATGTTAAAAGTGCAATCCTTACTGAGATGGAGGGGGTAGCTGTGAGGCGGTCATTAGCTGACCGGGTCCCACATGAGCTACATGACTGAAAGTCAAGGGACCAGATATGTCTCTACTGCGACGTTCAGACCTGCGTGCAAGGACAAAATAGCATACATGTACATAGAGATCATGTTATTGTCATTCTTGTTAGTTTAAGGCAAGCAAGAGAAGGAATCTGTTTATATTAGATTTAGATCAGTGAAATAGAGACACAATTTTACAAACATTTAATCATAATATTCAATTTAACTGTGCCATACAAGTGTAAAATATTCAAATACTTTAAAAATAAGAGACTGAAATAAATTTCAAATTTTACATTTACAGAGAATTAAAAGGTTATGAAATTAAAAACAATTTGGGAGAATCAGGTAAAATAATTTTTTTTAAAATCAAAATAAAAGGAAATTCCGGCTAACCCCTTTACAAATAAAATAAAAAAGCTGTATAAATTGCCAATGCCTTTAAATATTTCTTAAAGAATATGTTGTATTTTTTCTAAGCATTGTTCACCTCAAGATATTCGGTATTAAAGCATTTAACAGATATTAAAATGTACATTTGCTTAATCAGTGTGAACAGTACAAAGTTACACCTCATCAATGAGTACAGGACAAAGTTACACCTGTCTAGCATGTACAGTACAAATTCCCCAGCATAAGCTACTGATTCCAGGACAGAATCAATGTCCACATTAAAAAACAAATTTTTTTGGTACTCATCATTAACTGTGTTGAACAGTAGATAACTATTAATTAAGGTCAGACATTGACAAGATCCAACCCTAGACTTTTTTTATCTTTTTTAATGAAAATTCTCACCAATTTACATATTTTGATAATGGTCAGTAACTAAGACATTTCCAGCTTTTTTTTTTTTTTTTTGATTAACCACACCATGATTTTTAATGACTGCTGAGCTTAGGTTTAAAACGGGAAAAAAAACTAATAAAAAAATGCTAGAGAATTAAGCCACACCAACCCCCATTTGTGAATGACAACAGAGCACAACAAGGTGCCGCTTTATACAATGTTCATGGAATATCTCTCAAAGTGCCAGACTGCTAAATTAAACTCATTCAAAGATATCATTACACTTGTAATAATACTGTAAGGTATACAAGCAAAATAATTTAATAAAGACATATTCTAACAGTTGAGTCAATTATGCAACTTGTAAAATAATTAACAGCTTGACTACTGCAGGTCCTGCTTCTATTCAATCCATGCCTCAAATACAATTACTTTACAATGACAATAACTTCTCTGCAGTTCTATACAAAGGATAAAAAATAAAGGAAAACTGGTGCAGTAAGAGAGAAAGTTACCGTTTTATGCTTAGCTTCCTTTTGAGATGCAAGAATAGATAACAGAATAGAACTAGACAATCATTCAATAGATGTTTATTAAGTTAACATTTAAAGATGCATTCAATGCAGTCAGAAATAATTTCTTCAGTTAGTTTAATTTTTTTTTGACCACACTATGCTTATGTTAACAATAAATAAGTTTTAGAAGAGTGAGATGACATTCAATTAGATGGTTAATTTTTCATTCATGATTTTCAAGCTGAAAACAATGCTTAATGAAATTTTGAGAATATTTCTATACAACTTACAAATTGAAGATATGTGATCTGAAGACGTGAATGTGCAAAAAGATGTGTTTATATATTGACAGAAGTAATACAATGGGTGGGCTACTGACTTTATGGGATTAACTAATGAAATTACTGAATAACGAAATGTTCAATTAAATTAAATGCCTTAAATGGACGAACCAAATTTTTAAAAAAATATCATGTAAAAAAGTTAAAACATGAGAACAAATAATAGCAACTGGACAATATAGAACTTACCCTTTGCTAGATCTCTCTTCTTGTATTGTCTTGAAGGAGAATCTCCTCTTGTTTCTACTGCTCTTCTGTTTGAATATTTCCATCACAGATAACTTGTCTTCTTCTGAAATATATCAAAGTGATGTTCCTTTAGACAGCAATATTAACACAAAGGGAATAAAACAATGTTTCTTTTGTTCTAGCACTTTACTGAAATATAGCAAGGGAACTGACATTGAAATAGCAATGCAAATAATAGTTTTAAAAAACTTTTTGAAGAAAACTAGACATATACAAACAATATTAATAACATCTGCCACACAAAAATTGTTTTTACAGTTAAGAAGCTCAGAATAGCGTATAAATGAATCAATAAAATTCAGCACACAAAATATCCTCATAGCTTTTTGCAGAAAAGTATTCTAATGTTCAAAAGTATAAAATTATCGAAGGATATAGATCTAGATTTGATGTAATAATCCCCACACAAAAATTATTTTACAGTTAAAAAGCTCAGAATAGCGTATAAATGAATCAATAAAATTCAGCACACAAAATATCCTCATAGCTTTTTGCAGAAAAGTTTTCTAATGTTCAGAGGTATATATTATCGAAGGATATAGATCTAGATTTGATGTAATAATCGCCACACAAAAATTATTTTACAGTTAAAAAGCTCAGAATAGCGTATAAATGAATCAATAAAATTCAGCACACAAAATATCCTTATAGCTTTTTGCAGAAAAGTATTCTAATGTTCAAAAGTATAAAATTATCAAAGGATATAGATCTAGATTTGATGTAATATTTGCCACACAAAAATTGTTTTTACAGTTAAAAAGCTCAGAATAGCGTATAAATGAATCAATAAAATTCAGCACACAAAATATCCTCATAGCTTTTTGCAGAAAAGTATTCTAATGTTCAAAAGTATAAAATTATCGAAGGATAGAGATCTAGATTTGATATAATTGCCACACAAATTGTTTTTACAGTTAAGAAGCTCAGAATAGCGTATAAATGAATCAATAAAATTCAGCACATAAAACATCCTCATAGCTTTTTTTGCAATCAGCTAGTTAAATATAGAAAAGTATATATAATGTTGGAAGGTATAATTTGATATAATAATAATTGCCACACAAATTATTTTAGTTATAAAAGTTCAGAATAGCGTATAAATGAATCAATAAAATTCAGCACATAAATTATCCTCATAGCTTTTTGCAGTAAAGTATTCTAATGTTCAGAAGTATAAAATTATCGAAGGATATAGATCTAGATTGATATAATTGACACACAAAAATTGTTTTTACAGTTAAGAAGCTCAGAATAGCGTATAAATGAATCAATAAAATTCAGCACACAAAATATCCTCATAGCTTTTTGCAGAAAAGTATTCTAATGTTCAAAAGTATAAAATTATCGAAGGATATAGATCTAGATTTGATGTAATAATCCCCACACAAAAATTATTTTACAGTTAAAAAGCTCAGAATAGCGTATAAATGAATCAATAAAATTCAGCACACAAAATATCCTTATAGCTTTTTGCAGAAAAGTATTCTAATGTTCAAAAGTATAAAATTATCAAAGGATATAGATCTAGATTTGATGTAATATTTGCCACACAAAAATTGTTTTTACAGTTAAAAAGCTCAGAATAGCGTATAAATGAATCAATAAAATTCAGCACACAAAATATCCTCATAGCTTTTTGCAGAAAAGTATTCTAATGTTCAAAAGTATAAAATTATCGAAGGATAGAGATCTAGATTTGATATAATTGCCACACAAATTGTTTTTACAGTTAAGAAGCTCAGAATAGCGTATAAATGAATCAATAAAATTCAGCACATAAAACATCCTCATAGCTTTTTTTGCAATCAGCTAGTTAAATATAGAAAAGTATATATAATGTTGGAAGGTATAATTTGATATAATAATAATTGCCACACAAATTATTTTACAGTTATAAAAGTTCAGAATAGCGTATAAATGAATCAATAAAATTCAGCACACAAAATATCCTCATAGCTTTTTGCAGAAAAGTATTCTAATGTTCAAAAGTATAAAATTATCGAAGGATATAGATCTAGATTTGATGTAATAATCCCCACACAAAAATTATTTTACAGTTAAAAAGCTCAGAATAGCGTATAAATGAATCAATAAAATTCAGCACACAAAATATCCTCATAGCTTTTTGCAGAAAAGTATTCTAATGTTCAGAGGTATATATTATCGAAGGATATAGATCTAGATTGATATAATTGACACACAAAAATTGTTTTTACAGTTAAGAAGCTCAGAATAGCGTATAAATGAATCAATAAAATTCAGCACACAAAATATCCTCATAGCTTTTTGCAGAAAAGTATTCTAATGTTCAAAAGTATAAAATTATCGAAGGATATAGATCTAGATTTGATGTAATAATCCCCACACAAAAATTATTTTACAGTTAAAAAGCTCAGAATAGCGTATAAATGAATCAATAAAATTCAGCACACAAAATATCCTCATAGCTTTTTGCAGAAAAGTATTCTAATGTTCAGAGGTATATATTATCGAAGGATATAGATCTAGATTTGATGTAATAATCGCCACACAAAAATTATTTTACAGTTAAAAAGCTCAAAATAGCGTATAAATGAATCAATAAAATTCAGCACACAAAATATCCTCATAGCTTTTTGCAGAAAAGTATTCTAATGTTCAAAAGTATAAAATTATCGAAGGATAGAGATCTAGATTTGATATAATTGCCACACAAATTGTTTTTACAGTTAAAAAGCTCAGAATAGCGTATAAATGAATCAATAAAATTCAGCACATAAATTATCCTCATGGCTTTTCTACAATTTGCTAGTAAAATATAGAAAGTATAACAAATTTCAAAAGATTCAGATTTGAACACAAAAATTATTCTAACGGATAAAAAGATCAGAATAGCGTATAAGTGAATCACTAAAATTCAGCACACAAAATATCCTCATAGCTCTTTGTAGAAAACTAGACATATACAACCGAATAAATAATATTGGTAGATATATATTTGATATACCTTCCACAAAAATTATTTTGTTAAAAAGCTCAGAATAGCGTATAAATGAATCACTAAGATAAATTCAGCACATAATTTATCCTCATAGCTTTGCAATGTGCTAGTAAAATATAGAAATATAGAAAGAATATCGGAAGATATATATTAGATATTAGAATAATTGTCAAACAAAATGGATAAAAAGCTCAGAATAGCGTATAAGTGAATCACTAAAATTCAGCATACAAATTATCCTCATAGCTTTATGCAGAAAACTAACCATAAATGTGAAAAAAGTTAAAACCGCAAAAGATGAACATTTAAAGAAAAAAATAGCATAGAAAAGAATATAATATGTTTCAGTATACACTTGCTTTTGGTAAAAAAATGTAAAATAAAAATGTACAAAATAAAACGGATATTGAAAAGCATGAAGTAATCTAATTATTGGACAGAATATAATTTTAAGTGATAAAAAGCTCAGATCATGATATAAAAATATATTAGGACATCAAAAAGTCTGCTTTATAATCACGCTAATTAGTTTTTATTTATTGATACTACTAAGATGGTTAAAATTTAGAAAACTAGAAAATAAAATGCAAAAAAGCTCAGAATAGCGTATAAATAAATCAAAGACTTTCACATAGAATTATTGTCCTCACTGCTTTTTTGCATAAATTATACACAAGCTCAACAGTTTCTATTTGATGTAATCACTTTTTGTAAACTACAGAACATATTTGATTCATTTTTTAAAATGTAATTTAATGACAATTATTCTATAAAATCTAAATTTTCCTTTAAAAATTAAAGTATAAATTGAACCTATCTTGAGCTAGTACCAAAAAGTGAGATTCCAGTCTAAGACGTCTGATTTGGTATTCTAGTTACTTTTATTCATTATGTGCACACTTTTGTGGCATCAAAAAACATAACTTCAAAGTATTGGACCATCTTTTAAAATTAGCAAATTATTAAGCTTGATAAAAAACTAGCTATTATTTCTTTTAATTTCTTAAAATAGTATTAATTAAAGAGTTAACATTAACACTATCAGTGCTCATGAACTCTTGGTTAGATTTCATTTAAAATTTCAATCAGTATTTAAAAATAACAGAAAAACTGATAATAGGACAGATGTGCTAAATTATGAACGGTCACAAATAAGCTCAGAATAGCGTATAGAGAATCACTGTTGATCAAATACAATTTTTCCTCATTGCTTAATTTTTTAAAAGGTTCATTTGATTCTTAAAGAAAAAAACCTAATAGTCGTGCTTATTTAAGTAAAAACAAGCAAAAAGCATTAAAACATTCATTCTCTAATAATGATTATTTATAGTGAAAAACAATGTTTTAAATTTACTAAAATCTGTCAAACATACCTGCTTTATTATTTTTGAGAAAAACAATGTGCTGAGAGTCCACATTATTCAATATACAAAGCGACCCATCTTTATTTAAGGGTTTTGTCTGAAATGTATCGATAAAGTTGTTTAAAATACCCCGAAAGGCTATTCAATTTTTAGAATATTAAGAAATAAAATTTTAGATTAAAATATAATAAAATACAAATCTGTTAATGCTAAAATTTAAAACCATTTAATTATTTACCTTTTTCAGGCAGAGAGTTTGAATCCATTCACAATTTATAACATCAAATATAAAAATAGAATTCTCAGTATAACATTGTAGATATGGTTCTGAATAGCCTGGAATGAAAACAACATTAAAGACTTGAGCACAAGGCCAAAGATTGTCTTCACATGTTTAAATTTGTTGATAGTAAAATAAAAGAAAGAAAAACATTTCTGGTTTTACTCACTGACATATAAGGGTGGTGCTGGCCACAATATCTCTTGTGCCCTACTCCGATTCCCTTTATTATCCACATATATGCCAACAACTGCAAAGTTTTTATCACAGCAATATTAAACACAGCAACGTTTGATTTAAATACACATACAATTTATTTTAAATAAGGATATTTCAAATCAGACATTGATCTTAATACACATCTTTAATAGGAACTTTAAAATATTTATCAACTTACTATTAAAGGCAAGGAGATATTCCACTTCTGAAACTTGGACAGCCAACATGGCTGATATAGGGTTTTGAACAAGGAATCCCAAACTGGTGTCATCAGTGTTGACTAAAGCTAAACAAAGAAAATCATAATTATACTAATAAATTTACTACTTATATTTAGTATACCACAATGAATTGGGTTACCTTTTTAATGTAAAAAAACTTGTTATCTCATTCTCTATAACCCAAGTTATCAAAATGTATATTTCTAACAAGGTTTCAGAATTTATAACTGAAAAAAAAATCGTACTCATTGGGGCTGCGTCCCCTTGTACACTGTAGATGGCAAAACAAGAAGGATATCCCACACACAGCCTATCACTCATCATTTCTATACAATCAACTTGACCAGGAACCTGAAATTAATCATTAGCAAAATATAAGCAATCAAGTCAAATGGCCACTAATTTATCAGTGATAAATATAATGCACAGAAGAAATAAAAATAATACCTGTATGTCTTTCATCTTGCGGTACCTGGCTCTGGTTTTGTTCACTTCATACACCTGGACAGTTCTTTTGATGGCCACACTCAAGCAGCAGGAGCTTCCACCCTGGGGCTGCCGTATTTCTCCATGACAAAATATGTGGCAGCCTTTCGTTTCATTGATCTTTATTGGCTCGGCTTCCGTGCCCTCCAACACTGACTGATTCCAGAGCTTAAGATGCTTTTGTTTACCTAAATCAGGCAAGCAAAAAATGTTATTTCCAATAAAACATTTGAACACATTTCATATGCAGAGATTTAAGCTAAAATAAGAGAAGCTCAGAATAGCGTATAATAAAATCATTTTGTTTCAATAAAAATATTGTCCTCATTGCTTCAAAAATATTCTTTAGTCAAGCAAAAAAAGAAATAAACCAACCACTTATGTAAGCTATGAGTCCTAATTGTTGCTCTTGAATCAAATCAATTTGATATACTGGTTTCCTTTCACTGCGATCACCTATTCTTACAATTTCTGTGTGGAAAAAATTGGATTACAATGTTAATGTATTAATCAGAAAATACTAATTCCCTACACCTAAGAATAGACTAGAAGGGATTCTAGGTTCAAATAGTAAAGTTCCCTTTCAAAACTGATGGTCTATAAGGCAAATGAACTAGAGTTCACTTGTTTCTGTGACATCGGCATATGAAGGGATAATGTGGTCAGCACTATGCCCAGCCGCCTTTACTTACAGAGTTGGGTGGACTCAGGGACAGTCTACTGACTTGAACCCGGACTCTAGACTTACGGGTTAGCAGTCCAGCTCTCTACCACTAGGCCACTCCGTCCCATAGGTTCAAACAGAGGTATTACTAAAAACCTAGATCACTCTTATGCTATATAATTACCTCGTCCTAAACTTAAAGTGTTGTGCACGTTGGCTGATTAAATTGAAAAATTCTAGTTTTACTGTATGATTATCATGTAATTTGAAGACATTTACTTTTTTTATAATACAGGAAAGAAAAATGTGTTGGTTAAAATAATTTAAGAAAAGTATGCTTACGATCTTTAGTAAGCTCAACCACGTAGAGACCATCGTCAGTACCCAAAATGATTCTACTATGATCTGAAAGTGTAGAGAACAAACATTAGTCTACTAATGATATAAAATTCTTAGCTAATATAAAGATCTAATGAAGTGTAAAAATTAAACGAGTCTACCTAAAATAACAGCACAGTGTGTTCCTTTCACTAGGGTCAGAGTATTATCACAAACTTCTTGAGCACTATATACCTAAATAATAAGCAAAATATGTTTGTCAAACTTTTCCTGCATAACACGCAAAGTACAAATTTTAAAAAATTAAACTTATGTTATGGATGAAGAGAAATTGTGTTTAAGATTCTTGACGTTAACATTGCCATAAAAAGAGAGAGTGGTTTATTAAAGATCAGTTTTGCTGTCAATAAAAGTGTTCGTGAAACCATCAACAATCTGTTAAATTACTTACACTCTTGTTCGGTAGTTGCTTATTACGTAGTACTTTGTGCAACTGATTCAGGATTGCTAACCAATTTTCTTTTTCCTTTTCATTTTCACTCAGTAAAAATACTGTGTGCTGTGACCCGGGTGGGTTCATTTCTGACGTCGTTACCTGAAAAGTAATGTTAAATGTTTAACGGGCCGGCTCACAAAATTACTTTTGTAGTTATAAAACAATTCATTCAGCAGGTATTTTAAAGGCAAAAAGGTAACTTACTCGAAATATACATGGTATATCTTTTTTGTTTGCATGAATCACATCACTGGCTAATACAGGGGTGGCGGAGAACTCTTCATCTCTGTGAGATCAAATACTCTAAATTATTAATTGCAAAATAATCCAAGATATAAATTATAAATTGTTTTTATCATAACTGTATTTTAAAAATTTTAGTACAGAAACTATATAGGCTGTAGACTGTCACATAATAATAAATAACAAGAAACGAAAAAGAACGACAAACAGAATTAAAAGCAGTTTAAAATGTGAACTGTTCCCTACCTCATGTCCACTACCTGTTGTAGCTGATGCGTTGGAACATTTTTATCAGCAGCAACCTCATAAAGAAACAGTTTAAAGTCACATATAACCATATATTCCTTCACCCATCCTTTCTTGATACCACCTTGCCTTGGCATCTGAAAGTTTTTAAAAAACCAAAGTGCAAACTTTAAGGAAACAATTTATAGAGGCCAAAAATACAAAACTTTTCAAATTATGTCGGTTGAGCCTTTAATGTATCAGTTAAATGACCCTGAACTGTTAGCTATTAAACATTTCAACTGTGAACATCTTAGAAACAAAGATAAACTTTCAAAAATGGGTTTAAAGATCACTGCTTAAAAAAATAACTAAGTTAATGAAAGAATACATTTAAAAAATCATTTACAGTCCCTTAGGAAAAGATAACTGTATATATTAAGCTCTCGGACAAAATTATTATAAAAAAAATTAAAAAGAAATTTGTCTGGGTACATTGAAAAAGGTTCTATCAGGTAAAGTAATGTCAAGTGTTATTTAAAAGAGAGATACTAATCAAAATAGCAAACATTTTTAACACTACTTACTCGTACGAAACCTTCAAAAACAGTTCCTTGTCCCTTGTTTAAATCTAAATTGTAATTACGTTTTGCTAGGAGAAAAAGAAAGAAATTCATTAAAGAAAGAAATTGCAGTTTTCAACTCAACCCTGGATATGTTTTATGGTTATTACTTAATTTCAGAAAAACAAATTTTTAAAACCACAATACTTACACATTTCAGGAGGAACTGGGCATAATTGTGGACATTTATCCATACATCCAACATGACATGAATAGTTACAAGCTGCAAAATTTTAAATGTTAACATGGTTAATATTTTCCCATTTTGAACGTAAAATTGTAGAAGTTAGTTAACCAATATTATATCACATATACAAGTAATTGCACTTTTTACTTTAGTGGAACCATTACCTTCACATGTGATCCCCTGTCTTTGTAAGCCTATAAGTAGACTGGTGCAGAGATTACATTTATAAGGAGCTTGGAAAGACTTGACAATGAACCTGGAAACCAGCAGAGTTTTTTGTTTTAAATAAAATTTTCTTTCTTGTAAAAAATGACAAAGCTAATTTTTATTCAGAACAAAAATCACTCTTTGAATCTTTGTAGATACTTGTCCTTTCATGAAAACTAAGAATGCTAAGCATTTAATTTCTTCATAAATTAAATAAGTTGACAAAAGTAACAAAACTCTATAAAAATAAATACCTGTGTGTTTTAGCATGAGGTGATTTTGGAGATCTGGGTACAGGTGAGAACTTGTGTTCAGGGCTGCTCGACTGGTTAGACCATGGAGGCTCGTACACTGGCTCATAAGGCTGCGTGTAGGGTGTGTCACGAGGGAGAGAGGATTCCAAATCACTACCCCGCAGGTCAGATCTTGAATCTGTATGTGAGTCTGTCCTAGATGTATTGTCAGCTTCACTGTCGTCATCTCTTTCACTTTCTTGCTGCAAACATTTTTTTTTAAATTATATTAATGGTTCCAGAAGAAAGAATTACAGGTTATTTTTTTAATTTTAAAATTGCTGATTAATAGAAGGATCCTTTTGCCAAAAGCTTTTCATATAAACAAAATCTTGACTTTTTTTTAAAATACTTACTTCTGGCAATGCAAATCTATCACTTAGATATTTGAATATGGATGTGGATGTTTCGTCATTTGTTTCCCCTAATCAAAGGAATGTAATAAAACTAGTTTTAAAATTTAGTCATGGTATACAATAATACATAATTTCATAAATAAAAAATTTAAGTCAATTATGAAACAATAAAGCAAATAATAAATTACTGGGTGGGGAAAATACATATTACAGCAATAAATCAGGTTGTATTACTTACATACGTTACTTTTACTTGGCCGACTGTTTAAGACGTTTATCTGCTCCTCAAGTGCTGCAGTTTTATTACTTAAATCCAAATTATCCCTCATAATTTCTTGTAATTTACTGAGAAAGATAAATTAATGAAATTTTAAATTATAGCTCAATTATTTAGAGATTTAGTAAAACAAAAAATGAGGAATAATTTTTTTTTACTTTTCAACAGTGGCTAATTCATCTTTGGTCCTTGCTAACTCTTCAGCAATCTGCTGTTTGGCAACAAGCTCAGAGTTCAAATTAGACTGGAGGTTCAATAGCTCCATTCTATCAAGCTTGGCAGAGCGTCTGTTTCTCCACCTTGGTCGAGACTAGAAATAAAAACAAAATTCATTGCTTTGATCAATACGCCAACAATAAAAACGTAGTATCTTCTTCATTCTTAATTTTAGTGTTGGGAGGTATTGCCTCCAACACAATTAAGTAAATGTATTAACTGGTTATGCGCTATTGAGGACATTGATTCAGATTTCAGCAGGCTTTTCTTTTTAGATTTGCTTCCATAGCTTTTGTCCAACCGAGAACAAACTACAAGGCAGCAGTTGTTTGATTTCGGAGTTGTCTCTCCAAAAGGAGTGGCTGTCCCAAGCTAATAAGCCTCATCTGCCTGAACTAGAGACTTTTCAGTTTAGCAACCATGAGCTTTACCAACTCGACCATGCCAAACCTCTTCTGAACACTTACAGAATCATCTGGTACACCAATGACTTTCAGGTTTTCCAGCTCCTCTGTCATCTTGGTAGCCAGTGCTTGCAGGTAGCCTCTAGCATCTTTCTCATCACTTACCCTGGGAATTCAATGACATTTTTCATTCAAACAAAGCCAGGCTCTTTTTACCGTTGATAACCAAGTTTACAAAATATTGTACATTCTCATCATGTATTCTCCACCTTCAATATTTTTACTTTAAAATTGTGTTATTAAATTATGAAGAGCTCAGAATAGCGTATAAAACCATCACAGTTTATCTGTTTTAAGATTTTTCCTCATTGCTCTCACTCATAGAGTAAACAAACAAGTTTAAGTTTGTGCCATATCTAGTAGCATTATACCAAAATATAAGCAGAACAATATTCCACAAAAATTTCCCACTGGCAATACACTCACCATTTGATGATTTCTGATATCTGAGCTTCCCACTGTGCAACAGATTCCCTTTTATCATATATATCCCTGATTTCTTCCTCCATTTGGCTCCTTTCTTTTATCAAACTATCTATTCGGTTAGTTTGCTATTAAGATAATAAAGTTTGTTGAATGAAAACAATTAAAATTTAAATAAAATTTTCATACATAAAGGACCTTGAAATCATAACAAAGTCATAGTAGAAAACAGAGAGGTAATTAGAAAGGCATAAATTCATAACGTGTTTACACATAATTCCTGTTTAGGGTGCTACTGATAAATTTAATGAGATAGGTTATATTTTAACTACATAAAAACTGCCCACAACAGTATTAGCAAAAATGCTCTTACTGAATTTGATTCCTCTAGAAGCCTCTCATTTTCTTCCAAAAGAGCTTTGATCTTGGCTTCAGCCAGGTCAACTTGAGACTGTAGAACAGCAATGTTTTCATGCAGTTCTTTAGATTTCACTTGTTCTGTTAGTTTACCCTGTAGCCTCTTGATCTCATCTGTGAGATCAGACCTCTTGGTTTCACTTTCCTTCAGCGAGTATTTCAAGTTGTTCAGTTCTGATGTGTACTTTGAGTGCAGTTGTGTAACAGTTTCATCATTTTCTCTTTTTTTATTTTCTATTTCACCTTTCAACCTGGGAGAGTAAATTGAAAAAAAATAAAGAAGCAGTCACCACTGAACAAGTCTCCACTACCTAAATAACAGTAACTTCTGAGTCACCACTACTTGAGTCACCCCTTTCTAAATAGCAGTAATTTCTAATAATCCACTACCTAATTAGCAGAGGATTCAGTGGCCCCACTACCAACTACCCACCAGCAAATCAAATTTTACCTAGTTATTTCCTGGTTTAATTCAACCACATTGTCTGTTACACCCTGTCTCCCTCTATGTTTCCTCTTCAGAGATTCCATTTCAACTTCAATGTCTTGAGTATACTGTTCAGCTCTTTCCCTCAATCTTTTCTCCTTGCTCGACTCTGATTTCGCTTCATCTAACTGGTTCTGAAGCTAAAAGTATTTTTCAAAAGTTACTTCTGGATCCTATATTTACTCCTAACTGAATGTGTTAGACTGAAGAAAAGCAATATCATTTTTATACTTTAAAAAAACCAACCTCATTAATACTCTTTTCTGCTTTCCTTTTTTCTTGCCTTGCCTGTTCAATGATCCGTCTCTGATCCTCATTTTCTTCTTCTTTATTCCGAAATTCCCTGGTCAGCTCTTTAACCTTTGATTGACTCTTAAGCAACCTAGCAACAGATATTTCATTTTAATATTTAATTTTACAAAACAATTAGAGAATTTATAACCAAAGCAAAAAAAAAACACCATCTTCTTTGTTTAAAAACAAGGACTATAAAGACATGCATCACAATGTCCTTCAACAGAAATTTTTTACTATGTATCTGGTTTAGTAACCCGTATCATACTTAAGGATCAATACCACCAAATATGAAAACCATGTTGACCTCAACATTCAAAATATTACTCCACTGGTTCAAGTTTGATAGCAAAAAGGTAATAGTTTTGCTTCTATATTACTGGCAGCTCAGGATCAGTGTATATGAATTCATTTAATTCAGAAACTGGCGCCACTATCTCATCATTGCTTGCCATATCGTATGAGTGCTAAACTGGTATATTGATCGGAAACCTTTTCCGCAATAGGTAACAATTAGTGAAAATGAAAAAATGATAAATTAAAATTAAGCATTCTAATATAGGTAAGGAATGTTATAAACTCACTGATCATTGATCTCTGTGTATTGTTCCATTGCTAGTTTTTGTTTATTTAAGGCTTCTTTTAGCTCCCTTGCTTGAGTCTTGTACTTGTCTCTAGATTCTTGGAGCTCCTTATAAAGTACATTATTTTTTACAATCATTATTTTTACAATCAATGTTGACAGTATTAAGTATAAAAATAACATTACAACATCCCGTTTTTTTATACTAATTTTAATTTCTTTATTAATTTCTTTTTTAATTGTAAAAGTTAAATAAAACAATGCTATTTTTGTTTTAAATGTTATAGAACCAAATTTGTAAACAAAAATAGATTAAAGGTATTTAAAAAGTCCCACCTTTTCAAATGCTGCCTTTTCATCTTCTGATAGTCGAAGCCTCCTCTCGTAGTCTAGTATAATTTCCCCTGATTTCTTTAAGTCTAGCTCCAAACTACTGACTTCTGATTGTGATTCTGCGACAACTCTATGTAGAACAGCAACCTCTTCTTTTAACTGCCTAACCTCTGTTTCATCTACCCCAGATGCAGCCCCAATACCATTTATTTCACTATTTTGTAAATGTGAAATGGTTGCTGTCAATTCTAAATTCAAACAAAAAAAAAATCATGAAGAGTCAAAAACTTGGGTAAAATTTAAAATTGCCAACTTAAAAGCTAATAGAGGCAGCTCAGTACAGTGTATCAGATATCACAGATTTCATAAACTGGCGCCACTATTTCATCACAGCTTGCCGTACTTATTTTCATTTGTCTAATACAAATTAAAAACTAGCAAATAATATTTTTAAAAAAAAAACAACCAAAAACAACTATTAAAAGTAAACTAAAGTACCAGTATTGATTATTTCATTAATATCAATATGGATTCTTTCATTAAGTCTTTCTATGATATTTATAATTCATATTAATAGATTTTTAAAAATCAGTACCTAATATTCTCTGGTTCAGATCTTTGTTCTCTTTCTCAAAACTTTTGATCTTCCTCTCAAATATTTCTATCTGTACATCACCCTTGTCCTTTTCCCCTTTAGCATCAGGAAGCAGCACACCCAAGTCAGAAAGTCTCCTAGACAAAAAGCAAACCAGAGGATTATTAACACATGACACATGATAACTCAAGTCTAAGTAAAAAATACCAATGCAAACCAACGTACGAATCTTTGGTGTAAGTAAATCCAACAAAAGGTAAATGGTGTCCTTTGAAGGTGGCATGAGAAGTTGGTGGAACCGTGTCCTGTGATTTAAAATATGATCATTATTTGTTATGAAAGTCTAGATTAACAACTATGATAACAGATGCAAGAAAATATACTGCTACTTACTGTGTGTTTAAAATCCATATCTTCAACGTCAAAATTTGATGTGTCTGTTGCACTTGTGACCTCTGGTCTGTAAGGTGGGTCCACTAAGAATACAGAATAAAACCATGACATACTGCACTAGTTATAATATAAATGAATATTTAAAAAGTTATTTTATCCAACTTTACTCAAATACTTACTGTCACGAATATTTTCCCAATCGATGGAGGAAAACCATGTATGGTTCTTGAAGTCTTCCAGTCCATTTTTACCAAACCTTTCATTGGGTGTACAAATTAGTCTACGAATCAAATCTTGAGCCTCAGTTGATACATCGTCAACATCAGTTGGGAACTCAAACCGAGACTAAAAATAACGGAATACATCTCTAGGATAATATAAACTCACATAGCAAAGCGATTTCTTAAATGGAGACTGCAAATAACAGTACACATCTCTAGAATAACACAAGATCACATAAAAACCCAACAACAATGTCAAACATTGAAAATGTAAAAGCCTTTGAACCCACAGTACCGCTTTGTGTCTTAAAACTCTGTCTCTGCAGACCGATAAATCAGTTTAGGACACCTTACAGCCCATACTTAAAAGTATGATATTAAAAAAGTATGCAACTAGTACCATTCAACTCATATTAAGTCCCTGTCATGGCTGCGCCCACTAACATTAAAAAGACTATTTAAAAGCTGTCTTTATTTTTTTATTGAGTCTGTTGTGTGTACCTCAGGAGCTCAGGGATTTTGGGATAAGGAGCTGACAGTTCAAAAGCTTCAACTATATTTTTAACCTAATGTATAATGTGAAAACTAAATTCTCACTTACCTGGTGATTCATAATTTTGCCATATGTCTCTACAAGAGACTCAGCATAAAAGGGAGTCTCTCCATACAGCATTTCGTACATACAGACTCCCAAAGACCACCAATCACATTCTGGACCATACCGACCATGTCCATCCTCCATAGCCTGAAATTATCATGATTAATTATACAATTATAATAACAGAAATGTTTCTTAGTCTTAACCCTTTGAGCCCGCTAGGCCGGTAAACCGGCTTCAACATTAGGCATATATGTCAGAAAAGCCGGTTTTCCGGCCCGATGATATAGCGTCATATTCCTTGCGGCCGGTATACCGTCTATTTAAATATAATTAGCGGAAGACTGACTAAAACTGCGCATATGTCTTTTGAGTGCGGGATTATGATTTTAAAAATAAATTTTTAGGAAAAGTGAAAGTGAATGTGTTTACATTTCGTAGCAATGCTGCCGAAACGAAAAGCTGAGCCACAGCCGTCGACTTCATCACATAAAGTTGGTGCAAAAGATGAAGCAAAAGACCGAAATATCAACAAAAGAAGTAGAATGACTGCATCTCAGGCAATACAACTACTTATTGATTCTGATGAAGAAGATAATAATCCTGGTCTATATTATGATGATAGTGACGTTGAATTTGAAAATGAACACAGTGACATTGAAATTGACAGTGACAATGAAACTGTTCAAGTACGTTCTGATGCACGTGGTGTGAAGGACAAAGACTTGCCGAAACGAAAAAAAAAATGTTTACTGGTGCAAAATTTGCGAAGTTTTTCTTTGCATCGGGTCCGGCAGTGATAACTGTTTTGAAAGTTATCACACAAATGTGGACTTCTGACGATGAACTAGTGTGGCCAGGTATCAATAATAACTAAACAATTACTAATTGTAAATTGGTTTCTTCTATGTTCTATCAAACCAATAATTATGTGTTCGTTTTATATACATTGTTCTGTTCAAACATAGTAAAAAAAAAAATAAAGAATTTCAGAATCTTGCTGCGTTATTGTTTGATCCAGAGTCTGGATACCAAATTTGGCTTGATTATCTCAAACGGTTCAAAAGTTATAGGCAAAGTTAGAAGCAGATAAGGGAAAATTTGGTTTGGCCCTGGGAGCTCAGGAAATGGGAGAAATTAGGTCAGGGAGGCCCGGGCTCAAAGGGTTAAAAACTAGGTTGCCACCTTAAATATTTGGCAGCACATATGTTAGCTGCCAATGCCTAAAACTGCAATCAAAGCACATAAGATTTCTAGCCACTATCAATATAATAACACTACCAAAAAAAAAACATTTTTTCCGACATAGAAACATGAGCAACAAAAACTATCACAATACAAAACTTACTCTAAGAATTTCAGGCGAAATATAATCAGGAGTACCAACAGCCACTGAAGACTGCACTGTGCCATCATCCATCAGCTTGAGACATGAACCAAAGTCTGCTAACACTATATGGCCACTGCGGTCCAGGAGAACGTTGTCAGGCTTTATATCCCTATGCACGTAATGAAGTTCATGGAGCGAGTTGATGGCCAGCACCATTTCAGCAATGTAAAACTTACACATATCTTCTGGCAGCCGATCCTCAAACTTACTAAGCAAGGTAAGTAAATCACCTCCGCAGTAATAATCCATAACAAGATACTGAAACAACAATACAACACTAAATTAACAGAGCCCATCTCCAGAAGAATTAAAAATTTTAGAATTATAAACCTGTTTTTTTATGATATGAAAACCTGTTGTTTTTTTTTAAATCTAAATATAAGTCTTGTATTTACCAAATAATTATCATCTTGAAATGCGAAGTGTAAATTAGTTATCCAGCGCCTGTCTCCATAGACAAGTACATCTCTCTCTTCCCTAAAGCATGCAGTCTGAAAAAAGGCAAGAGTTCAATTGTTAACAAGAATGTACGGTTTTGAGCCATAAAATACTAGAGCCATACTAGATTATATTTTTATAGAGAAACCAAGGATTACAGTTCTAGAATATTGTCCTAGAGCCATACTATTATTGTCTCTAGTCTGTTACCTCTGCTCTCTTGAGCATTTCCCATTTGTTCAAAATTTTCATTGCATAAACATTTTCACTTGTTTTATCCTTGACAACCGCCACCTGAAATAATAAAACAAAATTTTAATGCAACTAATATCAACAAATTACCCATGAATGAATACAGCATTTTTTAAATGTAGTACAAAATGTTTAATACAATTTTAGATTTACCTTTGTTTTTAATCAAAATTAAATTTTCTTTATTAACTTATTTAAGTTTGTAATTACACAAGTTACCTCTCCAAAGGCACCTCGGCCAATAATCTTAAGAGTTTCAAAATCATCTCGTTGTAGTCTATTCTGTCGAACAAAAGTTGACACAGGGCGAGCTGAAACAAATAAATTCCATCCTGTTACACTCAGACTGAGGTTTATAGTAGTCATGTACACAAGTAAAAGTAGCTTAAAAGGTTTGCTATCATTAACATGCAATAATTTTAGTATAGTTATAAAATTTAAAGTAAAATACAAATTTACAATGGAAATGTTTTGTCACAATCAATCACTGCTAGAATATTCACAAGTTTCCAATTAATTTATATAGGCCTACAGAGTAACTACACATTTTTTAATTCTTTTAAAAGCAATAGGCCTATATGAACTATATTTTATAAAATTGTAATGTTCAAAAGATCTTTTAAAAATGTTTTCCAAATAAATGGTTGTTTGAATCACAGCTGTTTGTCTAGGTAAAGTAAACCATAGGTCTAATAATTAAAATGAGCTTAAACATTTGTCTTTACTTTACAGTTTTTATAAAGAAATGGAAAATTGTAGGCCTATTCTTTTCTCATTAATCAAAAATAATAGGCTGGCTTGTAGTGTCAATTCCACCACAGCACATCTAAAAAATTTGAGCCAATCAGCATAACTATCTGCTTGCCCAAAAGTTACATTAATTTTTAAAGTATCTAGGCTACACAAATAGGTACAAAATAGCTTACCAAATTCCACAAATTCACTGATGTTTTTCTCCCTTCTCAAGGCTGCACTGTTACACTCATCATAGAGTACCAATAAGGAATCAAGAAGAGTTTCAACACTCACAGCCTGCCCTTTGCTTTTGGCAACTCCTCTAAGATATATTTCCTCAAGACGCTTTAACCGTTTCTCAGCTGACATCTCGTTGTGTTAAAACTTACTCAAGTAAATTGTCTAATGAAAACATGACTATCAACTAAGCAGTTATCAATGTCTTCTCATAACTTCCAGCACTATTGCAAGTGCATGGTGGAGTGTAAGACAACAAATGAATTAGAGAAGATCTACTGCAAGAACCACAAATAAATTGTACTTTACAATAAATTACTATTTATAAATAAGCTTACATTATTTTACTCTGATAATCTGATATCCACAGTTTACTTAATTCAAATATATATTCTGAATAGACAGAAGTTTGAGCCTTGAGCTCTTGTGGTATGAGTAGTCATTTCCTGTCTGTAAGAAATGAGTAAAAAAACATCAAATTAATCAAATTATTCTGTACAAAACTAGATTCATACATCAAACGTTAATAACTAAATATTCAAAGGACTTCTGAATGAAAAGACATCCGTAACGTCATGCCCAATCAAAGTGTCTAAAGGATTAATTACTATACTACAATATCACTGGTCAAACTTCATGGGAGTCAAGTCAATGGATGAATCATGTGTTGAGAAGGAAAAGACACTTCCTCCATCCATTTCACTGTATTTACCAGGTGCTCAAATGAAATTACAAGCAAACTTATGAATGCAAAGATTAAACTGTATAACAGACAGCTTAAGTGATTTTCCGCGAGAAAATTAAACTAGTTGTAATTTAGAAACATTAGCTTACAATTCGTTTCAATGACTTTCCTGGTTCTACAAAATGCCATAGGCCACAAACATGGCGTCCTGTGTTAAGTTCACTCGCAAGCATTATGGGAATGTATGGGCGTTCATTGTAAGAAACTACACTTTAACTCTATTGTTGCGAAATTTGCCAAATTTTGGGCAAAAGCTGCATTTTTTAAATTAAAACTGAGCTTCCGAATAAAACTGAAATATGTTGCGATAAATATAAATTTAAATTTACTAAATTTAAAAAACGCAATCAGCTATAATCATAGCAAATTCTTTTCTCTTATTAATAAGACGGATATCATCATATTTTTCACATTCATTATTTTTATGCCTTAGGTCTAGTGAACGCAACCATTTCTTACTAATGACGTCATTTAATCTTTTTTTTTTTTAACTTATTGTTTTTCTAAACTGAGCACACCTTTTCATTCCTGTCGTTAGAGATATATCTGAATCAGTTTACATAACATCGGATATGGAAATTCTTAACTATTAATTTATATTATCAATATCTGCATAAGACACCAGCTGAAGTATATTTTTAGACTTCTATAAAAGCGAGGGGGGAGGGGGAGTTGAAAATGGATTTATTTCCAATTTGTGTTTATTTCGACTTTTTCCCCAAGAGTGTCGGGGAGGGGGGGGGGAGGTTATTGAAATTTTTTTTTTTTGGGAGGGGGTCTTCAGTGAGGGGCGCGCGGAAACTGGTTACAGTAAGCCGTTTTGTATATAAACTTATTTTATAAGGGGTCGTCCATAAATGACGTCACACTCGTAGGGGGGAGGGGGGTCGGTAATTTTGTGACGATGAGGGGGAGGGGGGGGGGGGGGTTCAGATGATGCGACGTCACACTTTTGCTTTATAGATAAGAAATGTTAGAAAACGAATTTTAGACGATATTTAGCGTTTTAGAAAACAGTTTTAATAAATTATAATAGGAATTGATTAAAATACTCTTTTTTTATACATATTTCAGACAAGGTTTTGGAAAAATATCAATCTTTAAAAAAAATTTCAACTGCAATTTTGAGGGGGTTGTAGGCTGAGATGCAGAGTTTCTTCCAGGCATCTCTTCGGGGGGGCGAAGCCCCCTCGAAAAATTTTTACCGCCCCCCCCCCCCCCCCCCCCCCCCCGAACGAAATGAAATTTATATAATTTATATAGAAAATATATACTTTTAACAGTGTCCGCCCCCCCCGAAGAAAGTTTACCGCCCCCCGAAGATTTCAAGTGCCCCCCCGGAGAAAAAAGTCTGGAAGAAACACTGCTGAGATGTAAAGTCATTTTAGGGGGGGGTCTGGCTTTTTGTGACGTGTGACGGAGGGGAGGGGGGGGTAAAAATCGTCAAAAAAGCGTGACGTCATTTATGGATCACCCCTAAAATGTAATTAAATTATGGGAAAGGGTCATCCATAAACGACGTCACGCTTATTGGGCGAATTCACGCTGGACGAACTAGAAAGAATACATACTTTATATAGGAAAATAGATATCAATGAGTATCCTCCCCCCCCCCCCCCCCCCCGGAAATTTAATTGCGCCCTTCCCAAGGAGAAAAATGTATGGTATGCCAAGGTCTAATTAATATGTTTCTACCTATTACGCAATTGGATATTTTATTACACTTTGTTCGTTTGAGTTTTCGTCTGTTGTCCATCATCGGGGTCGAAACTGATTGCAAGCGAACCGATTTCTTACAAACTTGACACGAAGAGATGCCTGAAAGAAACACTATCAATAATTAACAATAGTATCAAGACAAGTGGACCCCCACAATGATGACCCTGACACTCCACAATTCACTAAATTGCCAAATTTTAACAGGAGATTGGGCGTTCTCGAGTAGACCAAAAGTTCACTTGCCAGATGAAGTAGAGTTTACCAACTTCTCTGACATCATCAAATGAACGGGTCTATAGTCTCTTCAGCAACTGGGGGCGTCTTACTTACTCGACCCCCGGATCCAATGGAACTTGAGACACTCTGATTATTACAGAATCCTTTCTTATATATAACAAACATTGAGTCACGATGGCCGAGTGGTTAAGGCGTTGGACTCGAAATCCAATGGGATTTTCCCGCGCAGGTTCGAATCCTGCTCGTGACGTGTGATTTTTTTTCATCTGCTAATCCAAAAGTCCCGAGTTGGGAACCCAAACTGTTCCTCACGTCTAAAACCAGGCGGTGATATGCACTGACAGAGGAAGCAAAAGGCTGGTGGAAACCCATGAGTCTATCAGTTGGAAATTCTCGATTCTTAACCCGATCATATTCTGTAGAACAATTATTTTTTAAAATTCGTTTTTTATTCAAGATATGAATTGGGTCGGGGTCGAGAAACACGATTGTCCAACTCCTTGGAGTTGTTTTACCCAAATTCCAACTGAATAACTCGATACTTGTAGGCTACTGTTTTATAGTTTAAAATCTTTTTGCGATTTGTGCTTGACCGAAGTTATTTATTATAACTGAGTCAGCGTCAGTGTTTTTTCCAGACTCTTTTCTCCGGGGGGGGGGGGGGGCACTTGATATTTTCAGGCGGTCGATCAACATTTTTCGAGGGGGGGGGGGGCGGACACTAGTAAAATGTATGTTCACTATATAAATTCCATCTCGTTCGGGGGGAGGGGGGGGGTAGACTTTCTTCGGGGAAGAAGAGATGCCTGGAAGAAACTCTGGTCAGATTCGAAAAAGACGTTTGTCCAAATGATACCAGTTCAATTTCTAGTATTTCTACGGAATAATTGATTATAAGTCGATAGTTGTGTTGTTGTGTAGTTTACAATCCCTTTCGGCAATCCGTGTATTTAACTCAGAGGTATAGCGAGGGGGGGGGGGGGCGGGAGGGACATATGTCCCCGGGCGCCGACCTTAGGGGGCGCCAAAATGGGTTGGAAAAATAAATTGAGGGGGGGTGCAAATCGAAAGTTTGAGGGGGGTGCAAATCGAAAGTTTGTCCCCGGGCGCCGGGGAGTGTCGCTACGCCTCTGATTTAACTTGTGACAACTGATTCGTTTGGAGAAAATAAAGGTCAGTCGTAATGAGAAAGAATTTAAATTTTTTTTTCTAGGAATTTGGTATTTGACATAGTATCTCGCAGCCTTAAACTTTAAGCACTGTTACAAATATATATATTTTCTATATAATGTTTTTTGTTGCCCTTTTCTTCATCCAATCTTTCAACAGCAGATTAACCATCAATACAAAACCTTTTTTTGTTTTTTAAAGTTCTCTCTCCCAGGTATGTTCTGTTGGGTTTTTAATTGTTTTTTTTTAATATAACAGAGGAACCAATGTATAAAATATTTTGACACAGAAAAATATTTAGGAGAAAGATAAGCATCTAAACTCAACTTTTATTAAGATGAGTAGGCTATCATGAAGAATAAAATCATAAAGCAAATACAGCAGGTTGAAGACAACCATTTCACTTTGTCTACTCTTTTACCTAAAAATATATTAGACACACACATGTCAAAATTTTTCAGTGCTAATTTAAACATACAGAAATAAAACAGCTTATAAATGAATATGGTTAAAATATTTTTTTAAAATTGTTTTAACGCATATTTTATAAATTAGTTCCTCTCTTATAAATACTTTTTAAAAATCTTAACTAACTGAAATGTTGATGATAATGACACACATACTCGTATTTCTAGACATTGAATGTTATATAAGTAATTTGCGCCTTTGCTTTCTATTACTCCGGCTCAGATTTTCTGCGTTAGAGCTAAACAGCTAACCCGAGAGTCTCGAGTTCGAATCCAGGTTCAAAATCAGTGGAACGTCCATGAGTCCAACCAGCTCTGATAGATACCTAACTTACTTTAGGAAAACAATGGCGGCTGGGCATAGTGTTGACCACACTAACTCTCATATGCCGAGGTCTCTATGATGCAGATGAACTCTACTTCTTCTGCCCCATGTGTCTTGGAAACGAACGGGAAATCAACATCGACATCGTTTACATAATTGCAATCATCGTGTGAAACCGAAGTATTTTACAGTTGTACATAACGAATTTACATATTAAAAAATATGATAAAAAATAAATAGAATTAAAATATTCTGAATTTTCAACACCCACAGCAACAATTTACTAAAATCTAAGTTCGAAAGTCCGCTACTACATCCAACAAACACTATGGAAGTTACCACCAATTGCTGCCAATCCGACACCTAGTGGTTTTCACAGGACAGTCTCAGTCATCCGCTTCTTCTTCTTCGTTCTTAATTGAATTTATGTTGGAGGATTTAAACAACAAGTCCAACTTCGTGGATGAACTGGACTACACAGCTTTTCATTTAGTGTGGTGTATAGAGGCCAGTGTTTAGATCGCGCCCTGGTGTACAAGGAGCAGTCTTGTAAGACGTGCCTTGCATTTCCCGGTGCCATCCGACAAGGGCAAGTTTCGCCAGAACCAACTTTTAATTTTTTAAACATGTACTGCTTTAGTCTGTTGCTGCCTGTTCTGAGTAGAGGCGTAGCAACTCATTCCGGCGCCAGAACGAACTAACAACTTGGCGCCCCCCCCCCCCTTTCATTAACATAAAAGCACCCCGCCTCAGTTAGGAAAGGTCAGGGCGCTTTTTACCACTGTCCCTTAACAGTTTTTACGTTGGTGTCACACTATTGATGTAGAAAGCAGTTACATAAGTCCGTAAAGCTGATTAATGGTCTATTTTCCTAGCTTCCACTGTGTAATTCAGCTTTTTAAAAAAAAATGTGTCCACCCCGTTCGGCGCACCCCAAAGAAAACAACAGCCACCATTTACCACACACTCTAAACCATACGCCAAAGTGTATGTGTATCAGTAGCGTAGCGGGGGGGGGGGGGTGGCGGGGAGGACATATGTCCCCGGCCCTTAGGGGGCGCCAAAATGGGTTGGAAAAATAAATTGAAAGGTCGAGGGGGGTGCAAATCGAAAGTTTGAAGGGGGGGGGTGCAAATCAAAATCTTGAGGGGGGGGGTGCAAATCGAAAAGTTTGTCCCCGGGCACCGGGAAGGGTCGCTACGCCTCTGATGTGTATGTAAGTTAGTAAGCTTGCTAACGGAAATGCGTAGGTTGTTGCGGCAGTTGAGAGCGGCAGTTATCAAAAGTAGGGGAAATAAGTAACAATTTAACTCAGTTCTGTAAAATATTTAATTACGTCTTTCAAGGCATATTATCAAAGAATTTGCTTTTATTATAATTTATCAAATAATTGTTTGCTAATTTTTTCACAAATATTTATTGTTTTTTTAAAAAGCAAAATATATTTTAAAATACATGCTATAAATACAAACCATGACAGAAATTAAAAATGTATATAAAAGTGTATTTCGCTCGCCATAGATCAGTTAATGTTACTCATTGGACGTTTCTAGATTTTATAGATTGTGTTACTTTTTCTAGCAAGATTTATGTTGACTGCAATTTTTAATAGGTTCAGTTTTTACTTTTGAAAAGATTTTTGTTTTACAGTTGATAATGTGGGCGGACACTAGTAAAAATATATATTTTCTATATAATTTTTTTTTCTGTTTCGTTGGTGGGGGGGGGGGGGGGGGGGGGGGGCGACGGAGGGACATATTTACTTTTTTTGGGGGGGGGGGGGGGGAGGAGCATGGCCCCAACCCCCAAAGAGACCGAAAGGATGGCCAGTGAGAAAGAGAAACAACAATGTTTCCAATAGTCAAACATCTAAACGCCTGGTGAGTGGTGACACAACCTCGAGATAGCTATCTTAAGATCAGAGACACGCATTTAGCTGTAAACAATGGCTCTTTTTGTTTTGGAAATCAAATCCACGTTATTCTACATGTGATTCCCAGTATTAAAAACAATCGTCACCAGGACCGGCGCTACCTATAAGGCGAACTAGGCGGTCGCCTAGTGCACTGTCCGTAGAGGGGCGCCAATATGGGTTGGAAAAACAAATTGAAAGTTTGAGGGGGGGGGGGGTGCAAATCGAAAGTTTGTCCCCAGGCGCCGGGAAATGTCGCTACGACAAAAATTGCGGGGGGGGGGGGCGGGGGCGCTTTTAATAAGTTTTGCCTAGGGCGCTAAATAACCTGGCGCCGGCACTGATCGTTACGCAAGAATCTAAATGTTAACACAACAAAGTTTGAAAGCATAGTGGACAAACTTTTGAAAACTAAAACAGTTTTTAAAAGTATGGAAATTAGGTTGAATGGCCTGTCATAACACATGTTCAACACATTTTATTATAATTAAAAATGTAATTCACTTTAGCCTATCAATAAAAAAGGTTTTAAGCTTGCCATTATGTCATACGGTTTGTTAATGTTATTAAGGGGGTCGTCCAAAACTGACGTCACACTCGTAGGGGGGAGGGGGGGGGGGTGTTCAGATGTTGTGACGTCACACTTTTGCATTATCAAAAAGCAATGTAAGAAAACTAGTTTTAGCTGTTATTTCGCGTTTTAGAAACTGTTTTAATAAATTGTAATAGGAATTGATTAAAATACTCTGTTGAACAGAGTTCAGACAAGATGTTGGAAAAATATGGATGTTTTAAGAAAAATTCAACTGCATTTTTGAGGGGGGGGGGGGGGGGGGGTGGGGGTTATAGGCTGAGGTGTGACGCCATTTTTTTGGGAGGCTGGTCTGGCTTTTTGTGACGCTCTGTGACGGAGAGGAGGGGAGGTAAAAATCGTCAAAAAATCGTGACGTCATTTATGTATGACCCCTTAGCATACCGTTATGACTTTATGGTAAATAAGAAATGATGATAGTTTCTACTAAAGTTATGCATGCTCTTTTTTGTAATTCTTATTAAATTATTGATGTTTTTTTTTTCGTCTTTCTAATTTTTTTCTGTGCTAGCTTTTTTCTACTTCTGCATTCTAGACTAGATCTAGAAATCTAGTTCTTTTTTTTTCCTGCGGTGTCCTTCCATGAAAACTTTTAAAAAATTCGTTTAATTGGTCACCCTTACAAACATACACGTAATCATAATACGTCATTTTCAGGTATACCACATTGTACAACAAATCACTCTTTTTTTCACGTATTGTAAAAACTATACTGCACTTTGTATTTTTGTATGAAACCACTTAAAGACCTTAAAAAAATAATTATAATGTTTTTTTTATAAAAACTTTAGAGTATAAAACTCAAATAAACTCTTTTAATTAGAAAAAATATTTTGACATCAAACGGGAAACAAACAGGCAAAACTATTCCGGCACTGCAGGAAGTTGTTTTCACGCAAGTAGAGTTGTCGGTTTGGTAGACGGTCTCTAGATTATTTGCTTTGTCACAAACCTAAGTACGTAGATCTATTCTAATAGATTTTAGATCTATCTAGATTTATATTTTCTCAAAGTAGTGTCATTGGTTAGAATCTAGAAATGTTTTATCTTTCTATTTTATTTCAGGATCTAGATTCTAGAGTCTAAAGTCTAGTTGAACATGAAATGAAACTGAAAAAAAATAAAAAATCGTCTTTCTTTTTCTTTAGTCCTCACTCTCAGTCTACTTTTTTTCCCAAAATTTTTTGCAACTGCATGCACTCTCGCTCCAAGCCACGTTTCTGTACATTTTGATTTTAGATAGACTGAAAGATCTAGAATTCTAGATCTAGCTCAAAATTGAACCTAAGATCTAGACTCTAGACATAGATAATCTTTAATCTAAATATTAAATAATAGATCTAGTAGACAAGAATCTAGAATTAGACTGAGTACTGTAGGTTAAAAAATAGGGCCTACTAACTAAACTAAATTTAAAATTAGTAGGCCTAGGTCTAAATTCTAAATACACACAAATAATAAAGGTCTATTTCAAATAGGCTTGTCATTCACTTGTCAGTATCAGCCCAGGGTAAAAACAGGCCCGGAAAACTCCCATTATTTTCTGATGATGAGATTTAGTTTTGCATACTTGATCTAGATTTCTAGATCTAATAACTTCTTTAATTTATGGTAAATTTAATAGGTAGCCTAGTAGTTTAAAAGGTCATTTCCTAATCATGTCCTAATGTAAATTAAAAAGTAGAATGGTTTTCCCTTAGTTTTGATGGTTTTGCGATCTGATTGACAATGATTTCTTCTACTTTGGTCATTTCATTATAATTAATTGGGGGAATTTTTAGGGGTGTTAGGTTACTCAAGTTACTGGTAGTTAACTAAATACATACATTGCTGTAATGTCAATGCTAACCCGAACCCTGTCCCTAACCCTAGTCCTACCATACTCATATGCCTAACCCTTATTTCTAACCATAAAATTAGTCAAGATTACAATTCTACTAACAACCCAACACACCTATTTTATGGAAGACGAGCCGGCCCGTGGCATAACATACGCTGCTATTTAGTTGTTGTTTTTTCTACTTTTCAGTAATTCATAATTTGTGAATTCGACAGTACCAACGCAGACACTGAAAATATTTCTTTAAAACACTATAAGTAGCTCGTTAAGGACCATAACCCCCCCCCCCTTCCTCCCCCCCCCCCCCCCAACGTTTAAAATCGTTTCAAACTAAATTATCTGCCCCTAATAGCCGTCACTAAACCCGACTCCACGAAGGTAAACATATCGTGAACCACAGCTCACTAAGACCATGTAGGGGTGGGGATGGTAGGGAGCGCGTTTACAGCTTGTTTTCTAGCGTCTCCCAGAAGAGAATTATATATATAGATTCTATTATCGGGATCTAAAATCATCCTAAAAATTATATCAAGGTTAGTTTAAAATACGTTAAAAACTCAATTTTTGAAAACTTTCCTCTCAGTAAAAGTCTCCATAGCAGATATGAGATACATCTTATGTAAATAGAAATATTTATTTTTGGATATTTTGACTTCAACTTAAGAAAATACTAATTTGAAAGTAGTCACTGTATGTAGGTCGCATTGCCACCATTGTTATATTTTTTTATCCGATCTGCCGGTTTTTAGTTTTAATGCACTAACAACAGCATTCTTATGTATTGTGCAAACAAATCTCCTAATTTGCTGTTTTAAAAATAATGTAACATTTTTTCAGCTCTAGATCTAGTTTTGCTTGAAGACAATTTTGCCAAATATGTTTAAAATTTAATTTTGGCAGACTAGACAAGAGTCAGGCCATAGGTTACCTGTCTGTTGCAATACACTAGCTGTGTGCTAACTGTAATTTTAAGTTTTCAAGTTCTACTTACCCTTATTTATAGTTATGTTGAAAATCAGAATTCAAAGGCCTACACACATAAAAACAAGGATCCTATAACTCCAGTTCACCTAGATTCTGCACATGATTGAAATAAATTTTCTTTCTGCTTCTGTGACAGATAGGGCAAATGTGTGATGGAATTCCATTTTTTGCATTGACCATTTTAGGCTTATAAAATGACTATAATCTTGTACTGTTTAATTGAGTAAGATAGTTTCCTAGATTTACCTCTACCCTTAAAATACTGTATGTTGTGCAAATATGTTTAAAGTTTTAAAAATAGGCCTATAACTTAAGTGTATTAAACAATGTTTCAACATCCAGTTGCATTTTGTAGGCCTAATAAGTTAATTTAAGCACAGAGACTGCCATGCTTAATGTATTTTTTCTTTGATCTTCTAGACTACAATGAGACACCTGGGCCTTTTGCTAGGTGTGCTTCTCTGCACCTGTTTTGGTGTACACAAGGAGAACTTCCGCACTTGTGATCAGAGTGGCTTTTGCAAGTAAGTTTGATTTAGTTATTAGATAACATTGAACTCCTGGCAAAAACAGGAGTAAAATGCTAACAGAAAAAAATTGAAACTTGATACCCCCTTTGACATTCTGCATTTGTCTTCAGTTGATCATTTAAAAAAAAAATGGTTGTTATAATGTTCTATCATTATTTAACCCTGCAGACGTCACAGAAATATGCAGCCAGGAAGTAGCAAATATGTTGTGCAGCCTTCCACCTTAAGGATTTCAAAAACTTCAATGATGGTAGATGTTGTCAACACAGACAATGATGTACGCTTCCTGCTTCAAGGTTATGGACTACAGCATGGAATATTCCGTGTTAAGTTGGTAGAAGCAGAGCCAGTACGAGAACGATATGAGATTCCTGCTGGGATGGCACTTGTTGCAGAGCCCATCCAGGAAGAGTAAGAGAGATTTTTATAATATCCTGTCTGCAAGTAACTATAAAAATATATTAATTACTTACATCTTTGACATGTATCTTTTATCAAAAGTTGTGGTCCTCCTTTATAAATGATATTTAAAAATTAATTTTGCTCTTACAAAACTTTTTTAGGTTGGTCTATGATGGGGAGAAAGATGGGAAGTTAACTTTTACATTGGGACACAACAAGATGGTGATTTCTGTGAACCCACTTAGAATAGACTTTTTCATCAATGATGAACCTGTGACTAGTTTAAATGCACAAGGGCTGCTAAAGTTTGAACACACTCGTCAGAAACAGTAAGAAACTTGCCTTAACAACTGACATTTTAAAAAAATTTTCAGTTTTTATATACACTATTTATATGCATATATAAGCATTTTGTTTTTAAGTTAACTGTTATTATATAGTCTTATTTTCCATTTAATTTTTATTTTAAATCACTTTTTGATTCATCAACCAAGGTAAATGGACATTTTGTCATTTTAAAAAAAGTTTTTTTTAAAATTTTGTTGTTTAATTGGTTTTCATTTTTTACTTACACAATTTTTGGCTTTTGCTTACAAGAATGATTTTTATTTGAAAAACTTATTTTTAAAAAAGATATAAAAAGACATAACTAACCATTTGTTTTGTTAAGAAAACTTTTTTTCTACTTTTCACTGTAGCTTACAATACTGACTTTTTTCTACTTTTCTTAAATGTTAAATTTAAATCTAAATATTTATTATTGAATTGTGTAAATAATTGTATATGAGGAGAATTCTATAGTAACCTAGACTAAATCTGCTTTTTAAAAAAAAGATTTTTAAGTTCAGAATTAACCATTAATAAAAAAAAATTCAATCTACTAAGATACATTTAACTATGGATTTAAGTTGTTTTTGTATTCATTTTATTTTTGTTTAGATTCAGTAAATGATACTTAATTTGATGTTAAATTACTAATTTATTCATGGAGTCTTTGTAAAGCTACTGTCCTCTCAAGCCCCTCATTATTTCTTGTAATATCTGAGCTTTTGGCGCTGTGCTGGGTCTCTCATTGTTGTTCCAAGAATACAGCATAACCCGTTCTACTGAGTAGTTTGTCCCTTATTTCCACATTTAACCAGGGGCTGGTTCTCTTCACTGCGCTCGTCTGTATTCTCATTACTTTCACAACCTTTCAGAGAGTCTAAAAAGGAAGACGATGGAGCAGCAGATGGTGCTGACGGAGATCAGAAGGTTAGTATGGTGACGTTAATCAAGAGACTCAACTTACGCACCCTACCTATAAAAATAGTCAAGTAAAGATTCTTCTTAAGACGTAGCAATTTATTAGGCAGATAAAGCAGAGTTCATGTTTCTTGACCTCTGCATATGATGCGTTGGTGTGGTCAACACTATGCCCAGCCATCTTTACTTTAGCCAACATAAATCATAGCAAGGTGGACCCAGAGACAGTCCCAAGTCTGAACTGAGATCCAACCTCAAAACATTCACTGAAGGTTTCAGGCTAGCGGCCAAACTCTCTACCACTCAACCACACTGTCCCACACCCCACCTGACCTATAATTATCTTTTATCTTTAAAAAAAATTATCTTAGGATAAGTAAAAGTACTTTAGCATACAGATGTCAATAGTAGCTATAAATATATGAAATAGTCTACATGCCAAAGCAAAGGACAGGTCAGGCATGTCATAAGTATTGGTTATGCGTAAAAGAAATAGTAAAAAAAATATAAAAAGACTATAGGACATGTGGTGGAAACTGTCTTTACAGGAAGAAGCTGAACAGCCTAAGTCAGCTGATGATGAAGAGCCAGATATGTGGGCGGAAACATTTAAAGGCTTTACAGACACCAAACCTAATGGTATTATTAGTTTTCATATTTGCTGTATTGCTATTCAAAAAATTCAAGTATCTCTTTACATTAGTTATGATTTTGACCCAAAATGCCTCGCTTTATAAATTAAAATTTCAAAACAGGTCCTGTATCTGTGGGCATTGACATTGCCTTCCCTGGTTTCCGCTATGTTTATGGCATACCTGAACATGCAGATTCTTTTGCTTTGAAAACTACCAAGTGAGTGTTAGTCTAGTATTTTGCTTGTATATGAATACATTTGTATCTGTATTAGAGATTTTAATTTGTTTTCTGTACCTTTTATTTATTTTAGGAGTACTGACCCATACAGAATGTATAACTTGGATGTGTTTGAATATGACTTGTATAATCCCATGGCCTTATATGGACATGTACCATTCATGGTTGCTCACAAGTAAGTAAAAATATATTTTTGTTTTATTTAAGGCCATGTTTAAAATGTTAAGACATTAAAATAGGTACTATATTTATAAAGGTATATAGATAGTTTTATTGTTTGGTAAGTAATTAGTATGCAAATGTTTCATGATACAATGAAATCAATGTTTTCTGACATGTATTTTCCCATTTGTTTGCTATTTTTCTGATTACTGTCAATGACTCATTTCAGTGAGAAAAACACAGTTGGTGTGTTTTTCCAAAATGCTGCTGAGGGTTGGATTGATATTCACTCTAATGTTGCTGACAAGGTAGAGCTTTATAATTATTCAAGGTTCATTCTTGCTTTAATAGAATTTAAACTAAAGGAACTTTGTTTAAAATACAATACATTTCTCCTTATTGTTTCATTTTTGTTTAGCTATTTTTAATTGTGCTTGCTTATTTGAATTGCAATGAATCTTGACAAAAGGAAATGTGTTTGTAATAAATTTCACCTTGAAATATTTTGCAGTCAATCTTCTCCAATTTAGCAGATTTTGTGACAGGCAACAATGAGGTTCCTCAAACTGATACACACTGGTATTTTGAGGATGGAATCATTGATATTTTTGTCCTGCTAGGACCAGGACCTAAGGATGTTTTTAAGCAATATGCTAGTCTGACAGGGAACACCCCCCTCCCACCAGTAAGTCTTTTTTAAATATACAGGGTACTGGGGTTTTGGATTAATTAAGCTTGTCAAGATCAGTTTTATATTCTCTTGGATTAGTTTAGTTTGTTACTTGTATTCTTCTGAACGATTTTTTTTCCAGCTCTGGGCTCTCGCTTATCACCAGTGCAGATGGAACTACAATGACCAAGATGATGTCCGAACGTAAGTATTTTATCCACATTGATACAATTTCTGGTTTGTTTCTCTACTGTTTTAGCTAAAGATCAATACTTATTCTAATTTTGATATTATAGAGTTGATATGACCATGGACAAGTTTGATATTCCTTTTGATGTCATTTGGCTGGACATTGAACACACTGATGGCAAAAAGTAAGGGTTGATATTGTTCATTAGAAAGCTTTCATGTAGAATGCTGTGCATAATATTTTTTGACATATTAATCTTCAATCTTCTTAGTAAAAATATTACACTTTCATTTCTATTGGATTTTTAAAATAAATTTAACAATTTTGTTATTTAGGTATTTTACCTGGGATGGAAGTAGATTTTCCAACTCCATCGAAATGTTGAGGAATCTATCCTCAAAAGGCCGCAAAATGGTGACAATTGTGGACCCACATCTAAAGAGAGATGATAACTATCAAGTGTACACTGAGGCCAGAGACAAAGGACTGTTGGTCAAGAACAACAATGGCAATGATTTTGATGGATGGTGTTGGCCAGGTAAGTTTGTACTAACAAGTTAATAATTTTTTAAATACAGTTTTGAAGAAATATATGCAGATTAGGCTGTAGTGTATCAAGTATTTATATAAATCTGTATCACTGCACTGGAAAAGGAGAATTAATAATAAAGTCAAGTCTTGATTTTAGGTTAGCAATACCAGCATGCAATAAATTTGTAAGCCCTGTAAAATGATCTGAGAAATATAAATTTATTTTACTTCACAGTTTTCTTTAAACTGAAATCTAAATGTTTTGTAAAAGTGCTTGAATATGTATTTTGTTCTCTTCAGGTTCCTCCTCTTGGCCAGATTTCCTAGAGCAACACGTCCGTGACTGGTGGGCAGATCAGTTTGCTCTGGATAAATACCATGGCAGTGCAGAGAACCTGTATGTCTGGAATGATATGAATGAACCCTCAGTTTTTAATTCTCCTGAGATAACTTTCCCTAAAGACACTAAGCATTTATCTGGTCGAGAAAACAGAGAGGTTCACAACATCTATGCCATGCTTGTGGTAATTTATAAACCTTTAACCTTTTTTTAATCATTTCATAAAAATCTCTTATTTCAGAAGTTAATACTTTGATTGTTTTTCTAATATGTAATATAAATATTTCCATAGCATAAAGCTACATGGGATGGTTTGCTGAAAAGAAGTAATTATAAAGTGCGTCCATTTGTTCTAACCAGAGGTTTCTTTGCAGGATCACAAAGATCTGGTGGGTATTTTTTTGCTAATTTTTCCTCTAAATTTACAATGAAAAACTTAAATGTACTGTGCTGCATCTTCTGTAGTTTAATTTGTTTATATTTTTTTCTGATTATATTTTGTGTGCTTTAAAAAAAGTCACATATTTGGAATTGCTCTGCAGCTGCTGTATGGACTGGAGACAACATGGGTGAGTGGAGTCACCTGAAAGTCACTGTCCCTATGATGCTCTCACTGAACTTGGCCGGCATTCATTTCTCTGGTGCTGATGTTGGAGGATTCTTCCGTAATCCTGACAATGAGCTACTGACACGTTGGTATCAAGTAAGTACTTTTTCTACAGTATCATTTTTTGTTATTAAAAATCTTCACAATGTTCCTCACAAAATTTTGCTACATTAAAGATCTTACAGAATCATTTTTATTTATTTATAAATAACTTATTTTTTAAGTAATCAAATGGTGCTCTTTTGCAGGCTGCTGTGTTCCAACCTTTCTTCCGTGCCCATGCTCACATAGATACCAAACGCAGGGAGCCTTACTTGCTACCTGAAGAGAATATGGTCATTGCCAGGGATTCTATAAAGAAGCGCTACAGTTACCTGCCTCTCTGGTACCTCCTGTTTCATGATTCAGAGAAATCTGGCATGCCACCCATGAGACCCCTGTGGGCAGAGTTCCCTGCTGAAACAAATGTCTTTGAGAAAGATGATGTTTACATGCTAGGTATGATCTTCAGCAACTGGTGTCATTCTTCATCTTTAATCTACAACATAACATTGACTCGTGTAAAAATTGTTTTAATTGTTCATGTATTTAAATGTAGAAAACAATATTTAATGCAGGTAATTAATTCAATTTCAGGCAGTTCCATTTTGGTGCGTCCAGTTGTGGATCAAGGAGAAACCAGTGTAAATGTTTATTTCCCTGGACCACACACGGTATGTAAAGTCGTTTGAAATATAAGGGATGAGTTGCTGGGGTCAGATTAATCTAATAAAAGTTTTTTATTTCCTATATAACAAACATGATATTTTAACATGATGTTGTCTCAAAAATATTACAATTTTTCTTTTACCTCTGACAGATCTGGTATGACATTGACACATATAAGCCTTATTATGGTGGCCATGAAGTTAGTGTAGAAGCTCCTCTGTCTAAGGTAGATATATATCTATTAGGTAGATATTTATGTTTATGTACTAAACTGATTGAGAACATCTTTTTAAATTTAGAATGACTTTTTCTTTTTTTTTCTATTCCATTATAGAATATTTTTAGTGTTCCTTTTCTTAGTAATGTATTTATTCTAAGATAAAAAAAAATCTGTTTGAACTAATCAATATTGTATAGCTCCCAGCATTCCAAAGAGGTGGCAGTATCATACCAAGAAAGATGAGAGTAAGAAGATCTGCTTCTCTCATGTATAATGATCCCTTCACTTTGATTATTTGCCTGGATGAGCATGTAAGTGGTTTTATCTGTTAAATAAGTTGAAATACATATACATATAAATGAAGCAATCAAGTAAGTTCTGAGAGTAAAATGTTACTACTTGTTAAATCATCAGGGCAAGGCTCATGGTCAGCTATATGTTGATGATTATTATTCTTATGAGTACCAACAAGGAGATTATGCACTCACAGACCTGTCTTTCCATAACTTTAAACTGGAGAACAAGTAAGTTGTATGAAATCCTAGGCCTCTAACTTCAAAATGTGCCTTCAAATTTTTTCTGCATTTATTATCTTGTTTCATATTTAAAGTTAAAGATGGAGAAAATTAAAAGTATTTTGCCATTAGGTATTATTCCGCCCCCAAGCCAGTCTGTTAGTTAGTTATATAAAGGTAGGAGTTCGCTTACAAACCTGATAGTTGATGGGGCAAGTGAAGTCGAGTTCACCTGTTTCTGTGAACTTTGCATATGTAAGTATCACCATTCCTTTACTTTCCGGAACGTGAGTCAGGTACCCAATCAGAGCTGGGCAGACTCAGGGATGTTCTACGGACTTGAACTAAGATTAAAACTTGAGGCTTGGGTTTAGCAGTCAAGTTCTACCTTTCAAATGACCATGCTGTCTCATAATTTATAAGAACCTCCTTTAAATAAGTAGGCTATCTACTAAGACACTATTTTTTTTTTTAGACTTTTTATATTCTCAGTTTTCCCCCTTCTTTAACTATGATTCAAAACTTGACAAAAAGCACAACAGATTACCCCCCCCCCCCCCCTTTTTTTGAAGAATTCTTATTAAAAAAATACTGATAATCTCACATAGCAAATATTGATCTCTAATGTATTTTTAATAGTATACTTTTGTTACTATTTGACATGTTTTGTGTTGAATTCAAGTGCAAGGACTTATCTTTTTTATGATAATTTATAATTTTATTAAAATTTGCAAGAAGGTACTGTTGAGCATTATTCTCTAAGCTCCTATTATAGATCTGCATTTTATGAACTTTAAAATAATAAGTTACAAACTCAAACTGTAAAGTAACGAGAAATAAACTTAGTTTCAAACTACATCAGAAAGAAAGCTACGAAACAAAATCTTTGAGTTTATAGAATTTAAGCACCAATATACTCGTAACAGTAATTTATAATTTGTATTGGTATAAAATGATTCGTTTGTTGAAATGATTTTTTAAGTGTGGTTGTGTGTTTCTCCCACAGTGTGATTCATAAAGGTCAAAACTTCCACACAAAAGAATGGGTGGAAAGGATTGTAATAGCAGGTGTCAATACTGAACCAAAAAATATCCATTTGGTCAAAGCTGGTAAGTTATTTTAAAAATTCAGTTTTAATGATTTTTCTGCCGCTGTTGCTGTCTTGGTTAGTGCTAATGGTCAGGGCAGTAGTTAGGAGTAGAAAGAGTAGAGCCGTTTGCTGGGGTTAAATCTGATCTGGTCTAGTTCAATGTCTGTGGATCATAAGCTATGGTTTGTCAAGTTCCCTTTAGAATCTGTACAGTCCATGGGCAAGGGAAGTAGAGTTCACCTGTTTCTGTGATCTCATCGTTTAAAGGGATAGTGTGGTCATCACTGCCCAGCCATCTTTACTTCCCCTAACATGAGTCAGGTACTTTTTAGAGCTAGGTGGACTCAGAGGGCGTTCTACCGATGAACCCGGATTCAACCTCATATGCTGTACCATTCAGCAACACATTAGAGCAGCAAAAAGTCTTTTGAAATGATGTACCAGATATTCTGTCATCAATGTACAACGTGAGGGTACCCAGCAATACTGTAGGGTTATTGGTAGCTCATCAAGTAGTTTCATAAACCAACAGTTGCAAGTTGTAATATACCTGTCCATGGACGTATGAATGTAATCAGCATTTAAAAAGTGATATTTGGTTAACGGTTTTTGTTCAGATATAAAAAGCTGCTCCTTTCTTGAAGGGAATAGAAATTTTGAATAGGTTTAAAAATGTCAGTCTCCTCCCTTGATCAGCCCTACTTGTACTTACCTGATAAATACTTTTTATGTATAAAAAAAAATAATTAAATGTAGGCAGACATTTAAAAAGCAAAATATTGATTTAATTCAAATTAATTCTTTTTCCAATCCATGTTTTATAGACCATAGCAAAGAAGCATTGGACCATACTTATGACGCCAAAGCTAAAGTTCTTACAATACGAAAACCTGGCGTCAATGTGGCAGAAAAGTGGATTATTAATCTACATTAAGCATTGAACACTTACATTAGTATAGAAAAAAATGTTTACAAAAAGTTTGATTTTTCGTTGTTCATTCATGTTTTAAATCTACATAATTCCCTTTTGTACCAATTTTTTTATGTGAGCAGCTTTAAAAAAGTAGAGTTCATCACATCCTTACATTGGCGCACTTCTTATACATTGCTGTGAACTGCCTTTATTGATCATACAAACATTTGTTTTTACACCTTGTTCTTATTCTTTTTATGAGGCTGTTATTTCATTAGGTTCAATCTGTTAGTAACAGCTGTAATAACAAAACCAGCCAGCTGGATAGTCTTCTCAGTCCTATTCTAAAAGCAATAGAAGCTTTAAAAATGTCAATGATTTCTAACATATCTTTCCTTGAGCAACGAGAAATATTTTTAAAACTGCCAGTAAAATTAGTCTAATTATAAACAAACCTTAAAATTGGGTGCCCTGTCAAAACGGCCCGGGACAAATCGGCCCCGTCAAAACGGCCCCGTTAATACGACCCCGTCAAATCGACTCCCGACAAACCGACCCCGTCAAAATAGCCCCGTCAAAAGGGCCCCGACTTATTGGCTCCCGTCAAATGGGCTCCCGTCATATTGACTTGCGACATATAGGCTCCCGACAAATGGGCTCCCGATATTTAGGCTCCCGACAAATGGACTCCCGACATATTAACCCCTGACAAATAGGCTCAGGACATATTGGCTCCCGACAAAGCGGCTCCCGATATATTGGCTCCCGACATAAGGGCTCAAGACAAATGGGCTCCCGGCAAATGGGCTCACGACATTTTGGCTACCGACAAATGGGCTCCCGACATATTGGCTCCCGGCAATTGGGCTCCCGACATATTGGCTTTTGACAAAATGACTCCCGACATATTGGCTCCAGAAAAATAAATGATATGACCACTATTGGCATAAAAGTAACCATTGTGTCCTACCTCCAATACCACCATAACCTCTTTTTAATGCCCGAATGAAATTATTTTTTCATGAACCAACATTAATTCACAAATAAATCGAGCCCTTAACAGCTAAATTCCACCAATTCTAAAGTTTTGATAATGTTTAATTTACAACAGAAAAGATCTGTTGCTTAAAAGCGAGCACAGAAGTGTAAATGTATGATATACATGATGTTAACATGATAACAGCATTTTGTTTTGATAACCTACAAGCATAGTGGCGTAGCGAGGTCGGGTGTCACCCGGTGCGGCACTTAATGGTATCACCCCCCCCCCCCGCACCGGGGCGTTGCGACCCTTCCCAGGGACAAACTTTCAAGTTTTCGATTTGCAACCCCCCCCCCCCCCCAACTTTCGATTTGCACCCCCCTCAACTTTTTCTCTATATATTTTGCTATTTTTTGCCTTGGTGTCACCCCCCTAAATGGTGTCACCCGGTGCGGTCCGCACCCCCCCCCCTCGCTACGCCCCTGTACAAGCATATTGCAGTTAGGAAAGTACAGCGTGGACCCTTCTCCCCACACAATGAGTTGGAACAGCCTATAACCGACTCAATTATGGATGTCATAGATAGATGACCCTTAAATTAAAACATACTATATTTTATAATAGATAAACTAATATAAAAATAAGGCCTGCCGAACAAGAGATGCATACGTTGTATTACACAAGAGTGTTGGATAAGCTAACTCTAAAGAATATTGATGAAGGGGTCCCACTGGCAGATGTCATATTCAATGAGACCGCTTTGCCGGGACAACTTAGTCTCTACAGAAACGGTATTGTCAGTGCAGTGGCGTAGCTAGGAGTTTTGGGCCCCTATGCAAAAATTATCAGTGGGCCCCTTCGTCAGCCGTTAGGCTAGTGGCGTCGCTAGGTCGGGTCTCACCCGGTGCGGCACTTCGTATTGTCACCCCCTCCCAGTAAACAAAGCATATATATATATATATATATATATATATATATATATATATATATATATATATATATATATATATATATATATATGTATATATATGTATATATATATATATATATATATATATATATATATATATATATATATATATATATATATATATTTATATATATATATATATATATATATATATATATATATATGTGTGTGTGTGTGTGTCGGCCTACATATGTATATATATATATGTGTGTGTGTGTGTGTGTGTGTGTGTGTCGGCCTACATAGGCCTAAAATTTATATATATGCCACATACTGGTACACGTACGTGTTTAAGCTTTAATCACTGCTGACTTAATAGTAACGATGTTTATCTACAGTCTGTTTATAATACAGTTGGATGTAGCATTGTTTTCTTTATAGTTTACGTTTACGTCGTGGTGTCACCCCCCCCCCCCCCCCCTCTTGATATAATTTTCGATTTGTACTTAGATGACTATTTAACTTTAACTAATGGATCTGGAAAATGGCATTTCATTCTATAAATTTTACAATTTTTTGCCTTTGGTGTCACCCCACCCCTAAATGGTTTCACCCGTTGCGGTCCGCACCCCCCGCCTCGCCTTCGCTACGCCTCTGCGTTAGGCTACAGAGGAGTTAAACGAAGAGATCAACTTCTACTTACGATGGATATTTTTTAATATATAAATATTCTGAAGGCAACATTTTGTATTTTATATGTCCTGATTTTGTATTTATACTATATTATTATGCTTGCCTACTACTGCTAAAAAGTTTATTTATAGGCTGATTCTCTCAATGTCTTGCACGACAAAGTGATATAGCCTGTAGTGTTATTATAACGATTGGGCTCTGTTTGACCCACAAACACTGAATCCCACTGCCGAAACGGTGGGGGGGGGGGGGGGGGGCTTTTTGGAACTTTTAACCTTTTTCTTTTTTAAAATTATTTATATGTAACAAATATTAAAATTCCATTGTAAAAGTTTTAATTTTTTATGAGGGAAAAGGGCCCCTATGTGCCTTGGGCCCCCATGCCTTGCTTACGCTAGCTTTACGGTAGCTACGCCACTGTGTCAGTGGTCCTTTTGTCTGGAGCCAAATTGACAGGAGCCTTTTTGTCGGGAGCCAAAATGACGCTAGCCTATTTGTCGGGAGTCGTAATGACGGGGGCCGTTTTGTGGAGAAACTAAATGGCGGGAGCCTATTTGTCGGGAGTCGTAATGACGGGGGCCGTTTTGTGGAAAAAACTAAATGACGGGAGACTATATGTCGGGAGCCAAAATGACGGGAGCCTATTTGTCAGGAGCCTTATTGACTGGAGCCCTTTTGTCGGGAGCCTATATAACGGGAGCCTATTTGTCGGTAGCCTAAATGACGGGAGCCTATTTGTCGGGAGCCTATATGACGGGGTCCATATGTCGCTGGCCCTTTTGACGGGGCCGATTTGACGGGGTCGTTTTGACGGGGTCGTTTTGTCGGGGTCGTTTTGACGGGGCCGTTTCGTCATTGGCCGAATTGACGCCGCACGTAAAATTGATGTCAAGTGTGTAATAGGTTTTTGTGAGTGCTGAATTTGATTTTTGAGATGTCTTTTTCATTTAGCCTAATTGTGTGGATTTTTAGTTAAGAAGAAGGGTGTTTGGTATATGTGTAGGATAAGTTTGTTTTGGCATTTGTTTCATTTGCCTGGGGCTTGCAGCAATGTTTGCTTGGATGTTTTATACAAACTTTGTCTGCATTGAATTGCATTCAAGTATTTTAAGAACAAAAATGTTAGTTTTATTTTGTTTAAAAATTTGAATGATGTGTTGTATACATTTCAGTATTTACTATTTTAGTTTCACTAATCTAAAATAGCTTTTTTTTTTGTTTTGGTGCTAGAGTTTTTTGACGTAAAAAGAATGTTTAGTTGTACATTTTGCCATCACCAAAGCTGAAATTCCTTTAAGAGCCATATTAGCCAGAAAATATTTTTGTTTTCCTAGTTTTATTGCTGTTATATGTTATTATTGTGATGAAAGTTGTCAATAAAACATTTAGTAAAAAAGTTGTGGCATACTTAAAAATCTTTGGTTAGAATTCTAGCTCTTGTTCTCTTTATTAAGGGAAGTTTTAACAAACACATCACTAATTGATATTGTACATTTTATTATCAAAATACAGAGAACAGAGTAAATAACCTACATAAGTTGGTGTCAAATTTAGTTCCCCTCTTAATTTTTAAAAATTTCTAAAGGATGGCACAATATTTAGGATTGCATTTATGACCGTATTTGGTTTATCGTATTCAAACTGCACTTTGGGGAGAATAAATTAGAAAAAAATTGCAATTCTGTGATAAGTATTAAAAACAACTGTACAATTTTAATGAAAACAATTTACATGATGTACAAAATTAGAAAAATATGAACAATTTCCTCCACCCCTGATCATAGTTTTTTACATTTTAAAAACTTGTCTTACATCGCACATGAACAGGAGTTGGTCCCAAAAAAAATTGATAAAAAATGACTGAATATAATCAAGAATGTCCAAGTTACATTGACTATTATGGTCTTAATTAGATCAATATTTAAAATTTGCAGTTGTATAATTGATTTATCATTCTAAAAAAAACTAGTAAGGATATCAGAAACAACTGCAAAACATTACATGTATAACTCTGTGTCTAGAAAATGTAGGTCTACTTTTTAAAAAGTGATTAAAGTTTTAATTTTTAATATTTCTTTTTTGAGGGATGCCTAGCTTCAAAATGGCTGTCTATCAGTGTGAAGGGTTACCAGTGTAGATTACTGAGTAAAACAATGAACAGTATTAAGATGCTATTAGTTTCCTTAGTTTAAAAAACATTAACATGGAACAAAGATTATTTGCAAAATATAAAATGAACACAATATTAATTAAAAATGCATTTTAAAAATTAGAGAAAAAACAAATCAGATGCAGTTGTATTATCACAATAATTACTAGTCAAATATTACCTGGTGCTGTGATGAGAAGAATAAATTGTTTTGGAATTTCATTTGGGAAATTAAGTAACTACTGCCATGGTGTAAACCAGGGATTACAAAAGATAGAGTACCTGTAATGTAGCTGCGGAATGTTGTCCAGTAATAGGTAGATATCTGTAGTAGGAACTAAAATTTCCGTTAAAAGAAAGTTGAAATTAATTCTTCTCTTGAAATTTTGAAATAAGAGATCTAACCCAACCTTTCATAATGACTAAGTTGTCCACTTCACTACTCTCACTATCCAGTCTACACATTGACTTTGAGGGTTGCAGCGTGGCGTTTTCAAAGGTGCCAGATAAGTCAGATTCTGGTTGATCGGAGTTGCTGCGCGCCCTGTGGATGAATTGGTTGCCGGAGCTTTCTGCGTTCATGTAGATGAACCTGCTGGCATCTTTCTCATGACCTGGGTTGTTGCTCGTTGGAGAAAAATGTCTTTTGGAATAATCCATGTTTAAACTGTCCCTAGATTTAGACAGGAAAACATTTTCTCTGGATTTTGTCCTGAGGAGAAGACTTTCTCTAGATTTAGACAACGAGTCGCTTGACCTAGCGAGAAAATCTCTGGATCTGGATAAGTTATCCATTGACTTAGATAAACTATCACGAGAACTTGAGGTCCTTAAGCCGTAGACTTTAATGTCATCATTGCATCTGTTGTCAGTTGCCAGGGTAAAAGCCAGCTTGTTGCGATGTTGTGAAGGGGGTTGGGACTTGGCTCTTGACCCGATTTCACGCTCTTCGCTGGCCTGTCGGCTAGAACTGCGTCGGCCGTATAGGACATTTTCCCGTAAAGTTTCTAGCCTCTGACGTATCATGGCACCAGGTTCTCTACGTTTCACCTCCAACACTTTTGGTGCCTGTGGCTTAAATTTTTGTTCGATGTGCTGGACGTATTCCCGTATAGATTTTCGTGGAACTGGAGACTCCACTTGACTGACAGGTAGCGGATCCTCGTACACGTCAACAATAACAGGATTATCTTGAAAAACAGAATCAAATGCAACTGATAATCTCCGCTCATAGAAACTGTCAGTAGAATCAACAGACTCCCACGAACCATGCCGTTTTAAACTGTCGGTTTCGTCTCTTGATCTGGTTTTATCAAGTTTAGGTTTGACTTTTGGAGTTGCTTCTTTGGAAGAAGGTTCTGAAAATTCCAGGACTGGATCGTCATTGTTCTGATGAGGTTCAGGGGTCGCCTCACTGACGTAAAGGTCGCTGTCAACATTGTTAGGGGTAGAGTCACTAGCACTTGAGTCGTGACTGTGAAGAGAAAAACCAGAGTCAGATTGCTCGATCTCGCAATGTTTCAGGGCAGGTAGCATCATGGCTTCAACATCTTCCGTTCTTACAGGCAGTGAAAACCTTGTTGGTTCTACTGCAGCATCACCATGGTTACCCACTGATGTTGCTGGTTCCAAAGTTTTGACATCACAAGTGCTGTTTGGGCGGTTGTCGTGAGTTGTGGGCTCTGAACTTTGTGGAGATTTGGGTGGTGGTGGTAGTGAATTAGCCATACGGGACCCTAAAGATGAAGATCCTAGTGCGTGTTCTCTTAAAACAGTTTCCAAGTCCCTTTCTTCTTTCCATGAGCTCGCATCTTTAGATGATGAATGGAAACTCTCTACAGATTTTGCTGCAGGTGCTTCATCCTCTTCTTCTTCCTCGTCTTCTTCCTCTTCATCAGAAGTCTGTACTGAGGTGTGGCTGTAGTCGCTGTCCCGTCTTATCCCAGACTGATGAGCCCATGCGTTGAGCTTGTGTTTTAAAGTGCCGACCATGCCGTCGCTGGAACTACTGTCCTGGCTGTCGTAAGATGACGTTGACAGTGACGACACAACTGACAGTCTTTTTATGTTAGCTTCCTCTTCTTCAACAGTTATAACAGGTAAAGATGTTGGGAATTTGTTTGGGCTTTTCACACTTTCAGAAGATTTGCTGATGTAATCCTCCATCTCCGCCACCATTCTGTTACTTTCATCTTTCAGCTTATCCACATCCATGGAGGAGGGTCTGCTGTTGTGTGAATACGCATGCGGATTAGACCCTGTCATGGCGACAGGCGTGCTGTTTGAACGTGTTAGGCTGTGAGTGTGAAACGCAGCGGGTTTGGTCAAAGTCACAGCTAGGGGTGGACCCCCAAATGCACTGACCCCCGATGGCATACTTCCATTCAGTGCGGGGGTTTTATTTCTGAAGAAAGACGAACCTAAGCGACTCTCAGCATCAGAGCTGTGTCTTTTCATATTTTCTACTGTCATGAATGATCTAGGGGGCGTGGCGTATGGAACCTGGTTGGATATTGATTTCCGATCCTCTACGTCTTTGTTAAGCATTTCCTTTAAAAATGCTGACTTTGGTTGTATTTTAATAGGCGATGGTGACGAGTCCATGCGAGGGGGGAAAGAGTTTCTGTTAAGATACACCATCCAATCGAAATTTTCTTTATTTACCGAGACCTGGAACATTTCGGTGAGGTCAGAGTGACCTCTAGGCCGAGCGGTCTGGCGTGAAGTGTTGGCAGCCAATGGGCTGATGGAGAAAGAATTTGACCTGTTGGGTGTGTCCAAGCTGGAGTTGGATACATCCGTGTTTTTAATCCACGGGTCCTCGTTAAGATAGGACAGGTCATTCGTTGACCCGTCTGTCAGTTTCTCAACGCTGTTCCAATCTGTTAACCTTGCACTGTTTCGTTTCAACTGAACCTCAGGGGTCGACAAATGCTTTGAAGTGTTAGGCAGACGCAGTCCTTTGTTTCTCAAAAGTGCCTTCTCTGACACCTTCTTGCTGTAGGAATCGTGGAAGGCTGTAACTTTTCTAGAACTTGATTCCTCAGTCTCCTCTTCATGGCCTTTGCCTCTTCTCCTTAAATTCCTTCCGCTAACTAAATCTTTTCTGCTTAACCGGCCTTGACCTTTCTGAGGAGAGACTTTATCATTAAGGACTTCACTGCTTCTTGAACCAGCTACCCCATTCATTTCTTTCTGTGATTCCTCCCCAACTTCAGAATTCTCTTCAACTTCATGTCTGTAGTTCAGATTGGGTAGGCTGATTGCTTTAAATGGAGTGGCGCTTGTGTTTTCAGTGACTCTAGGGTCGCTTTCTTTTTTAACAGGTTCATGCTTTGGAGTTGAACTCTTAAGAGAATCAGCTGTATTGGCAAAAGGCTGAATTTCGTATGTTTCAATACCATCCACGTCATTTTTAACTGGCAGGACTTTCTTATCCTTATTTTTAAGTTTACCATCAAGATCATCGTCAGAATCGTCAATGTTTTTTAAGTTATGCGCAAGAAGATCTAAAGGATCTTCAGGCTGTAACTTTTCTTCTACTTTCTCAGACTTGCTGACAGCTCCATGTAGCTTGCCACACCTCATCATTATCTCAGTAAAGTCTGCTGAGATAACCGGGTGAGCCCGGACAGCATTTCTGAAGCTATGGGCTCTCTTCACGAGGTCGGCTTCCTTCTCTTTGTTCCTGAGTTCAATGCTGTTGTCCTCGGCTGTTTTCCTGGGGGTCGGGCTGTCTGGGGAGCTGAGTTCCGGAGACTGCGGCGACCCGACAGCTGCGGTGAACATGTCGAACACTGGAGAGGTGAGGTGGGTGATGGCGCTGTTGAGGCTTTTGTTCAGTGGATCCAGAACTGTGGGGGTGGGGAGGCTGATGGCTGTCTGGCTCTGGCTGCGTCGTCTGATGGCGTTCTGTGAAAAAAGTTATAAATACTTGTAGAGAATGGACCTCTATATTTGATGTATTATAGTTATAGATAATGGTCTTTTATATTTTATGTTTAAAATGCTTAATGAATAATTGTGAGAATGACCGGCAGGTATTACTAATACAGGAGAAGCCATGAATTACAAATGTCTGTTGGTATTCATACAGTAGCACAGCACAAAATGCCCTGTGATTGCCCAGCCGTTGGAACTAATACAGTGACAAAACAGGATGAGCCATGAAATTTAAATCCCCAGGTAATGAAATTAATCGCTAATAGGATTGTACCCAAAAACCCCTCATCTTATGATATAGTGTCTTGAATATATATTTCAGTTAAATTTGAAAGTCTTATGAAATATTTTCAATATAAACAAAGAAACCCTGTTTAGAAAGTATATTAATTTTTGACACATAATATGATCTACAATCAACTAAACCCTACAGCTGTCATGAACTCAGTGCAATCATACCACTGGAAACTGTTTTAGTGATTTAACACATACGACATCGGAAACAAACCAAGCTTTTATTTTCAACCCACCTGAGGAACCAATAGTCTTCTGTGAGCATCAGGAGACTTGCTTTCAGAGCGGCGTCCCACGTCTTGTGCTGTTTTGTTACCTTGCTTGGAATCAATCTGAAAAGTGATTGCATCAGAGTATATATTTTTAAACTTTTGGAATAATTCACATGTAAGGGATGACTTTTCTTTTGGGGGTAAAAATAATTTATGATAATGATATAGTTAAAATTTGTATGTTTACCTTCTTATTGGCAGCTGTGGGTGAAAAGAAAAATGAAAAAAATTAAATTATTATATTCAACACCATGTAAGACACTAGCTATCAAATACAGTTGTGTAGACAAAGCAATTTTAAAAAAAACTGAACTTGAAAAGAAAGAATTGTTCAGAACTCTTTACAAAATTTCATGTAATTTTGATATGAAAGATTTTATTTAACATACCTTTCTTCCTATTTTGTGGTTTTAGCAAGCTGAAATCTGTAAAAAAATTATAAGAAAAATATTTTATGCGATATTAATATTTTAAAAACTTAAATTTTAAATAATAGCCATCTATGTAAACTAGACAAATATAAATCAAAGCTCGGGTTATGAATGCTTACTATTTTAAAATAAAAAATACTTTAAAAATACTTTCTAAAAAATGAGTGAATTTAAATGAGAAAAATATATCCTTTATGGTAAAAATTTACCTGGCAAACGTGACCCAGATTTCCTTCTAAACCTTCTCTTCTCTAGATACTCTGGAGCTGTGTGTTGGTTTTTCCTCACAGCCTCTAAAGCTTCTTTGGTGACATAATCTGATCAAATAAGATGATACACAATGACTAATTGAGAGAAAAAAATTACGCTCTTATGGGTCATCCACTTATGACGTCCACACTGAGGGGGGGGGGGGTGTCCAAAATAAATAGACTTATGTGGACACTGTGGATTTTTAAAGGGAAAATAAATGGAGGACCCCTTACACATTTTTATTTTTAAATACCATAGAAGTCAGTACTAAAATCAGATTAAAGTAACTGGTGAAAGTTTAATTACTAATAAGATCTTTATAATTATGGCATTTCAATATTAAAATTTATAATTTAAAATGAATCTATAAAGAGAAAGACATTTAAAAGTCTTGTTAGTATAGATTTTCATTTATATTTTAATATAATTTCTTCTTCTGGGTTATAATCTACATACAATTTATACCCGTAGATGTTCAAAATTAATTTAATTCAAAATATACCCTTCTCCATCCCACTGTTTAAATTAAATCCCTCTTTAAATTTAATCTTATTAACCTATTCCTATCACCATAAATTTAAACAAAACAAAATAACCAGAGTAGCCTACCTTAGATCATTTTACATTAGTATTTTATAAGATAACTACACTCCCAATACCAGCGCATACATACATGATGAAAACGTTTTTAACCAATCAACATTCAAGATGCCTCACCATCATCATGGTTGGAGCCAAGCTGCATAACCAGGTTCTTGACGTTGTCTGGTATCCTCCCCTTGAAACTCTCCAGAATCAGCCTCTTAATCTCCTGGCACCAGCGCCTCTTCTGCTCCATGTTTCTTGCCTGAAAATGTATGGAAACGTTGCCAGACTTCCGTGGTAAAAATACAAAAGTTGCTTATAAAGCCAATGCCTACCAGGGGTGGACTGGCCTGCTGGTCTACCAGGAAAAATGTCAGTGCTCCCCCCCCCACACCCCCCCAGATGTGGTGCTGAAGACTATTTGTGTTTTGACTTAATAAATAATTATTTGTATTTCTCCATTTTACCATTTCACTTCCTTCATACCATTATGTAAAATTCTATTTGATGAGGAATAAATGCACAATGAAAATTTCAATTTGGGGTTGGAGGCCAGCCCACCCATGATGCCTTCTGTTATATAGTAATTTTTGCTTAATAGTATTTAGCATTAATAGTAAGCAGCAGAGGAGTAGTGATGGGGGGGGGGGGGGAGGAGGGGGGCCAGGGGGCGCCAAAATGGGTTGGAAAAAGTAATCAAAAGTTTGAGGGGGGGAGGGTGTGAAAATTGAAAGTTTGTCCCCGGCCCCCGGGAAGGGTTGCTACGCCTCTGGTAAGCAGCACAACAGGCAAGTAGCTGTAACAAAATTTACTGTTTTGTTTAATTTTATTTTATACAAAAGGATGAACATTGATTTTAAAAATAGGCCTAAAGGGTCTATAGGTAGAACTGGCTTGTTTTATTTTATTTTATGCACAAGATAAACAATGACTTTAAAAAAGACCTATTAAGGATAAAGGCAAGACTGTCTGGTATTATTTTATGCAAAAGATGAATACTGATTTAAAAAAATATGCCTACAGAGTCTAAGAAAGGTTAAAAAAAGTGTGCCAGGATCTGAAGCAGGTTATCAAGCTGTTAGATTTACCTGTAAGGTGTACTGGGCCCGTGGGTTGTCAAACGGAATGACGTGAAAACTTAACGGCTCATTAGGGATGACCTCCACCAGCATTAGATCAGAGCACTGCAAAGAAATGAAAAAAAAAATATTCTCTATTAAAGTAACAACAGAATATACAGATTTTATAATATCGAGGACCAACTGTCGGTTGGTTCATAGCTTCTATCACAAACCTAACCATGGCTCTGGTACCTCTAGAAAGTATTGCTATAGCTGATAGGGAACTAAGGGCACACAGCTGTGGCTGCTTAATGGAGTGGCATTTTACTGGCCACTAGGTTAGGACCTCTATAATGTGACAGATACAATGGGACTAAAAAACCTTGTTGATGGGACCTCTGGCAAGACTATATGATAGGAACTCAAGGGCTGAAGGACTTGGCCTCTGAAATTGAACCTCTGGTAAGACCCTATAATGGGATCTCAATATAACCAGAGTATAGGACATTCAATCATAGTACACTGAGATGGGACCTCTATAATAGGACCTGTGATGGGATCTATAATAGGACCCTGTGATGGGACCTACTACAACCCTGTGTCAGGACCTCTGTGATGGAACCCTGTGAGATGCCCCTAATATAGGACCTCTAAACACTTACCATGATGAATGTCTTGCAGCTCAACATGCCCCCATCTTTCTTTTTGCTAATCAAAAGTCCTCTCTCAAACAGAAACACCTGCCTGGATGCCTTAGCACCATACACACGGAATGAGCTCTGCAATACAACATGTTGACATATATACATACGCTAGTGAACATAGAAGTGGTGTGGAAAACAGCTGTCTTGATGTTTCTGAGATTAAATCTATGTAAGAAAACAATGCTGGAACCACCAGCTTACTGAAAGTGTGAGCTGCCGAGTTTGTTTTAGCAAATGACCTAGATCAATATGACATAGATCCTTTGATGGCCTACTAGCTTAGTAAATTTTTAAACTCCCTAACTCTCTGCACTATGTATTGATCCACTAACCCGATAACCCATTACCTCAACTGACCCACTGACACAATTACCCATTAACCTACTTTTCCACTGTTCCAGTTACCCAATAACCCATTACTCAACTGATCCACTGACATTATCTATGACACATTGACCTACTTCACCAAATACCCCCTGACCTACTGCCCTATATTTTGAGCAACCCACCTCCAGGACAAGCTCCCCCAGGCGTGTCAGATCCTCCCCCACATAATCCTCCAACTGGCTCTGAATCTCCTGAATCCTCACAGCATGCTCGTGCTTCCTCTTCATCTCATTGATGTGGTGCGCCATCTCGGTCATGTGGTGGAACGCCTGCTCCAAGATCCCAACTTCCTTGCCATCTTTCTCGTAGTTCTTCACGATATTCTGCAAGAGGAGGAATGGTTAAAACAAAATGTTGCACGAAATAAACACTAGGAGAAGATTAATTCAGGCATGATTTAAAATGCAATTACGGGTAATACAAATTAAATTAATGCTGGATATTAAAATTTATGACCATCTATTTTTAAGGTATAAGGACTCATATACTGAGTAGTTAGGTGGTGCACGAGAAAGTAGGCCATGCACTAGACGACTAAACAGCAAACTAGATAATGGAAATTGTGCCCTAGGGAATGGGATTGTGCATGAACATTGTAATATAACAAAATAGGACAATTTTACCCATCCCATAACACCACAAACATTACACATCATGTGATGACATCATACATCATGTGATGTTTTGTTCATGATACAAAACTTATTGACAGGTGCAGCTACCAGGCTTACCCCAGGTTTCTTTCAGACATTTTTCTTGAAATTTAAACTTCTAGAGGGAGGAAGGGGGGGGGGGGGGCTTAAAATTACCGGGTAAGGGGGAAATTGGTTTAAATTTAAAATCATTTTTTATAATTTTTATATGTGCCTCCACCATTCCTCGGAGATGCCTAAAAGAAACCCTACACCACATTCCTCACCTTCAATTTACTTAGATCTAGATCTAAGTACTTTCATGCATGCAACTCATTAAGCCCTGATGGTATTAATTACATTGATTAAATCCACAAGGCGATAACGAAAACCCAGCCCACCTGTAGAAGCAGGTGGTACTTGAGGATCCTCTGTACGGGCCTGAGCAGGTAGGCCCCCAGGGGCAGGCCGTGCCCCAGGGCCATCTGGCGCTCCTTGCATAGCTCGCTCAGTTCGTGGTGCTGCATGAAACGGGTCAATACTTCTACAGCCCTGTGGGAGAGGAAAATATTTTTAAGAGTTATTTCCCTTAGCTCTATCTACCGGGTTTGGTAATTCTGATAAAAACTGTTCAGGTAAAAATTCAATTACTTCTACTTTTACCACACTAAAATATAAGGCAATAAATTAATATAAAAATAACTACTTTTAAATGTACTATTTTCTTATTTGTTTAAAAAAATAATAAATAAAAATTGGCACTTAAAAGTCGACGTCATTTATGGAAGCGCCACCCCTCCCCCCCCCCCCCCCACCCAAGAAGATTTCGAGAGACTAGAAATTAAAGAAACTTAATTAAAGTTTTAATAATAAAAGAAACACATTTCTACTTCGTTCTTCATTATAATGTTGGAAGGTATTTCATCCAACACATTGAGTATTACATGTTAACATCTTTGGCAATATATCCAGAATCCTTTTTTTCTGGATTTGCTTCCATAGGCTTTGTCCACGCAAGAACAACAACGCAACAGTTGTATAAATTTGGAGTTTTCTCTCCTAGATGAGTTGCTGTCTCAAGCTAAGGAGCCTAATCTACTCGAGAGTCAGAACTCTAGACTTGTGGAGTTAGCAACTTAAAATAGTATGCTCCACCTGTAGTTCCTGTGCTGCATGATCCTGATGTCTATCCTTGAACGGAAACACAAGACCACATGGGGGAGGGGTGGGGAGAATTATTGAAAATACACAATGTAAACAAATGGGGAAAAGACTTTAAGATGGGATGCGAGTCTCTGGCTAAAAATAGCTGGCTGCCATGTTGGAGCTCTCTTCAAAATGCCATTGACGTCACGCCCGCTCCGCGTCGTATGCCTGACGTAGTGCCTTCCCCTCCTGCTGGCGTGCTGGTGTTTACAAAACAACCCTGCTCCCTCCACCCACGCCAACATGTTTTACCATAACAATACGATCGCTTGAGGCCCGGGGTATTTCTAATATGTGGCCCACTTCCAGGAAACGCCCTTGAGTTGGTGGCGTGACGCAGTGGCAACTCGCTCCCATGTTGTCACACGTGGTAAAAAATTGAGATAGAGCCCCAAGGCAGACGTTTGCGAGAAATGCGCTACGCGTTCTTGGCGCGTCTGTTTGTTCTCGTTAACTCGACCTAACTCGGCAGCAGCCATGTTGGTAGCATTGAAATCCTGTCACGTGGTTAAATATTGACGAGTGATTACATGTTGTCACGTGGTGACATGTTGTCAACGCATGCTGCTAGTCTGGCTTAGGCCGAGCTTTGCTGGTTTTTGGTTTAGCTTTTCAGAGGTGAGTGTTGTACTGTGGTGGGGAGGCGAGGAATCAGGTAGGTATAGGTTTGGGGGGGGGGGGGGGGTGTAAGGGGAGGGGTGGACACTAGATATGGGTGACATGAGAATCAGCGGTGAGGATTGAGTACGAGCTAAAAGGAATGACGAGCTAGGAGTACTGAGCACGAGCTAGTAACAGACAGTGCACTAGGTAACAGACAGTGCATCAAGTAACAGACATGTGCACCAAGTAACAGATGGTGCACCAAGTAACAGATGGTGCACCAAGTAACAGATGGTGCACCAAGTAACAGATGGTACACCAAGTAACAGTGCACTAGGTAACAGACATGTGCACCAAGTAACAGTGCACCAAATAACAGTGCACCAAATAACAGTGCACCAAGTAACAGTGCACCAAGTAACAGTGCACCAAGCAACAAGTGGTACACAAAGTTAAATATAACCGATGCATGAATGCCATAATGATAATGAATAATGACCGCCGCGTATAAATAAAGCCCACCAAAAGGCTAAGCGTCCGGAATTTGCTGTTCACATGGACTTCAACGCGAGCCAAACAAAACTTCAATCAACTTGGAGACTCAAAGACACCGATAAACGAAATGGGCGGGTCAGTCTTTGACCAGGAAATGAAAACCTTTGTGGTCGCTCACTGGAGAAAAATCTGGCCATTCCGTTTGACCGTATCGAAACGAACCGTAAGCCACGTAGCTCAAACAGAAAGTTCTAGTCTTGTGTGGTCACACACACATACTACTTATTCTATTTGCTTTTTGATGTCGAGAGTAGTTCACGTATTTCCAACCTTGACCCGCGGGGTCACGTGTGTGGCCACTTAGTCGTAGGTGTTGTTTGAATCGTCTTGTCACACCCGCTAAAGTAGACTCGTCCAGTGAGTCATAGTTCAAGAGGTCAGCTCGCCTGAGCGAGTGGTGGCAGTTACAACTTAGCTGACCAGAAGTGTACACTAAACATCAAAGGCGGGCCTTACCATGAGTAATTAGTGCAGTAATCGGCCTCGACACGAGTAAATAGTGCAGTAATCGGCATTACCTCAGGAAATTAGTGCAGTAATCGGCCTTACCTTGGGTAATTAGTGCAGTAGTCTGCGTAGATGACGAAGCCTTTGTTGTGTTTAACGAAGCACTGGGCGACCTTGACGGGGTCAGCGTCTGTGAGTTCAAGGTCCTCCAAAAATTTGCTGAAAAAAAAAAGATATTTTCGTATTTCTAAAAATAATTTTTATACTGTGTGTTTGTATAGTGGAAATGCAACATCGAGGTGTGGGGGTGGGGGGGGGGGGGGGGGGGGGGGGAAGCCAGTCAGGACATTGGGGTGGGGGTGGGGGCGACAGGACATTGGGGTGGGTTAGCCAATCAGAACGTATTATTACATTACATTAAAAATGGGGGGGGGGGGGCGGGGCGGGGAATTCGCATTTGGGGGACGGAGGACTTTCACAACCAAGTAGATTAAAAGAAACAAATCTAGTCATAACCCATCTAATGACCCCCCCCCCCCCCCTTCCCCATATATTGTAATATTTCGTTTAAAAACTAGCTACTTAGAAATCTCAAATTAACAAAGGACACACAACCTTAGTGACGGTAAAGAATTGCATTTGCAGACTTCGACCCCCCCCCCCCCCCCCCAACCCATTTGATAATTAGTCAGATTTTCAGCAGACTGAAGGCCAATGTCAATTTTTGAAAAACTTGACATTTTGAAATATTTAGACGAAGGTTTGTTTAGCTCCTTAAAATTAATTTAATGAGGTAAATAATCAAGTGGATAATTAGGCATCTGAACATCCACTTCAGGGTGTCAGGAATTTTGAGTAAATTAACTTATGCAATTGTTTGCCTTTCTGGAATTAGCATGTCCGGGTCAGTAACCACTGGGGTAGGTCGAGAATAAAGGAAGAAAGGAAGAAAGGAAGAAAGGAAGAAAAGGGAGTTTGGAAGGGGAATGTTAGGGCTAACGTTGGTCCACAATCCACACACATTACATATCGAAGCTCCATTCTAACGTTGACATGTGGATACTTGAATGAACTAACCATGTGGATTTATAGATACTGAATGAACTAACCATGTGGATGAATGGATATTTGACCAGAGGCGTAGCGACCCTTCACGGCGCCCGGGGACACACTATCAATTTGGCGCCCCTCTCGGTAGCAAATTTTCAATTTGCACCCCCCTCAAACTTTCGATTTGCACCCCCCCCCCCCCTCAAATTTTCGATTTGCACCCCCCTCAAACTATTTATAATGCAAAATTGTAGCTAAAATGACATTTTAATTTGTTTTTACAACCCATTTTGGCGCCCCCTAAGGTCGGCGCCCGGGGACATATGTACCCCCCCTGCCCCCCCCCCCCCCCATCGCTACGTCTCTGTATTTGACAGAGCTAACCGTTTGGCGCATGGATATATGAAAGAACACAAAGCACGTGTAGTGTGTAGAACTCACCAGCCGAATGTGTAGATCTCCCGGATGTTCCCGAACAGACAGTCGATGTCCTCACGTTCCTCACGTGACACAAGGATGCTCTCTAGCGGCTCAAGGTAGCCCTGAAATAAAGAGACCTTCACATCAGACGACCGGAAGTGGGCTGAATTTAGGGTACTTGATCATTCACGCAACGTAAAGGTATATCAGGGATCAAAGAAAACGGTAAAATAAATTAAAACATTAAGTATATATGATAGAATAAGTCATTTGGATTCAAAATTTGTGTAAGATGAAAGGCTTAGATACCCTGATATATGGTAGGGGAGGAGTCGATTGCCTATTCTTTGTTCAAATTAAAGTAGTAATATAAATGAGAAGCGACCTACCACCCTCAACTACCTGCCTCCGTTTTAGACAACAAGGTCGTGACGAATGTTTCTTTAATTTAATAGATGGCTTATTTTTAATCTTCAACTCGGCTATTTTTGGTGTCACCGACATTTTGGACGCTTTTTCTAAACAGGAAACGCGTATACATGTTAAAAATAACTCTTCGTAAAGTTGGTCACGAACGGGTTTAAAATAAAACTACTCAGTTTACCTGGCTAGAAAATTGAGACTAAAATAAATTTGCCAGTTAAGCTATCAAATAAAAAATAGACTTTTAAAGTATGACTGGAGATGTTTTTGAAGAATGTAAACATAGTGCAACAAGTCGCAGATAGTAGACAGATACAAGTTCTCTGCAACTTATCTAACAAGGTCAGCTGGTATCGTCTAAGATAAGATGGGATGAGGAAGCTCCTCCCAGATGAGGAGGAACTTCCTCCCGATAAGTTATCTTTATTGACGGGGAGATGAGAGGCTGCACTATTTAGCTTATTTTCAGATATCCTTCCGCCCCGTTGCACTGATTAGCTTACTTGAGAGATATCATTCCGCCCGACTTCGTCAGACTGAGCTGGCGTTAAGCCTCGTTTTAGAACAAAATGACCCATAAGGTATTAGTAAATAAAGATTGGAGATTATTTTAATAGTACACATTTCTGTTAAAAACACAATCGTAAATATTATCATGTATAAATATATGTTTATTTCAATCCAAAAAAAAACGGCTTTGTAAATAAATGTAAATTTTATATAATTGAAAAAAAAAACTATTTAAACGGAATATTCCGCTAGCTATTAAAAGAAGACACTAGATATTTATCTGAGACATAAACAGCGGTGTTTGACCTGTTAAAAAAACAACGCAGTGTTTTTTATAATTTGTGAGGGGGGGGGGGGTGGGGGGTGGGGGTGGGAAGGGAAGAAGGGTTAACAACCTGATTAATCAGGTTTGTTGATTAAGGTCTACAATCTCGTGCATGCTGATTACGAGGCTGTACAGGTGGTGGCACTTAACATTATTATGATTTAAAAAGAAATGTTGACACTTTATATAAACAAACCTACACCATCCCTTCTATATGCCGAGGTCAAGAAACATATCTGCCCAATTTTCTACTTCAGCGGACACTGGTAAAAGTATATATTTTCTATGTAAATTCCATTTCGTCCGGGTTGTGAGGGGGGGGGGGAAGATGTCTGGAAGAAACTCTGTTAGAGAATATACATCTTCTCTGATCAAAATATAAATATTGTAAAGGAGAGTGAAAAAAAACCCTCGAAAAATTGGATCCCACATACAACAGCTGGATATTGTGTGCGTTTATTCTTGAACGTGTTTGTGTACACGATCATTCTATTTGATAGAAAATTAAACAGGCTGTAGAATCTCTTGATGTTTTATACGTACTGTCAATGCATCGTTGTCATTGTTCACGGTGGAGTATGTTTTAATTATTTTTTTTACGTTAAGTATACACATTTATTGTCCATCTCCCAAAAAGAAAAAAAATACCATGCCTATCTCTAGAGGGCAGCGGTTCTTAACTTGGGTTCGGTAAGTCAGTCTCAGTGGTTTGGCGGAGGTCAAGACACACACCCGACTCAAGGGATTCACGATCGACGTTTGTCAGTGCGGACGATAGAACTATTATGAAGAGTTCGGTGAATGCGCATATGAAACTGGTGGGGTTCGGTACCTCCAAAAAAAAAGGGTTAAGAACCACTGGTGTAGGGCAAGGTAAACTAGCGGTAGACGCAATCAAACTCAATGCCGTCTGGCGTTCTTTGATTAGAACAAGTCTCCCCCTTCTCTCTTTTCCCCTCTTCTCCTCATCCCCCCCCCCCCCACATCTGGAGGACAACAATGTAGCCCAGGTGAGAACATCCAGTATCTCCCCCACCCCAGGTAAGTACAAAGAATTACGCCAGAGATGAGTCGGTACATGGGAGGGAAAGGGGGGGGGGGGTCAAGGAAAAAATGGCGACGATAACCGAGTAGGGGGTCGGGTAAAATTGACTCTCAGGTGTAGCAAGGACGTCGGGAGAGGGACACGCCCATTGTTTGAAATCGAGGCACGAAATGACGGGGTAATGAGGGGGAATAGAGGGTTGAAGAATAAGAAAATAGGAAGGGAAACTATCCGAGGCCAAACGATGGTCCTAACAAGCCTTAAGACACAACGGTGAGGTGTTTATAGATGGGTATAATAAAATACTTAAAAAAAACTTTTTAAAAAACCACGTTTTTCTTGTGGACTAAAAAGTAGAAAATAAATTTTTCTTTTGTGCTTCCTCGAGCTGTGCAGGTTCTTGTGATGACTGACAAAAAACGTGGGTACGTTCACCATCAAATTTCCCGACCCATCTGCCCGACCCACGTTTTTTGCCATCAAATGTATGAAAATTTATTTTCTACTTTTTAGTCCACAAGAAAAACGTGGTTTTTTAAAAAGTTTTTTTTAAGTATTTTATTTTCTCCTTTTTAGTCTGTTGCTACACATGAAAAACGTGGTTTTTAAAAAAGTTTTTTATATAGTTTATTTTCTACTTTATCTAATGACTTGATTAAGTATGACTTGACTAAGTGTTTATAATTACACGGTCTAAAAATCTTGAGCGACCAGGATTCGAACCTGGGTTGTCGCGGCCACAACGCGAAGTACTAACCACTATACGATCACGGCCAGCGCGCTCACATCGATTGGGGCCGAAGTAACTGTGTCAATAGGCCTCCAGTCTTGTCGGTATCTTTAGAAATCATGTCCTCAATTTTATGGTCCTTGGGGCGTAATTAAATTAAGCTAATTACGGTCTCTAATTGCTAGTTTTTATGATTGCATCTGAAATTGTTAGGCGAAAGTAGCCTACATGCCAAATTTCAGATCTCTAGAGCAATCAGAAGTGGGCTAATTTTCGATGTCAATTTTAACAACAAACATCCAAACAAACAAACAAACGCGAAGCTGAGTTCAGAAAAACGTGTTAATACTTAAAAAAAACTTTTAAAAAAACACGTTTTTCTTGTAGACTAAAAAGTAGAAAATAAATTTTTCTTTTCTACTTCCTCGAGCTGTGCAGATTCTTGTGATGACTGACAAAAAACGTGGGTACGTTCACCATCAAATTTCCCGACCCATCTGCCCGACCCACGTTTTTTGTCAGTCATCACAAGAATCTGCACAGCTCGAGGAAGTAGAAAAGAAAAATTTATTTTCTACTTTTTAGTCTACAAGAAAAACGTGTTTTTTTAAAAGTTTTTTTTAAGTATTTTATTTTCTCCTTTTTAGTCCGTTGCTACACATGAAAAACGTGTTTTTTAAAAAAGTTTTTTATATAGTTTATTTTCTACTTTATCTAATGACTTGATTAAGTATGAATTGACTAAGTGTTTATAAATACACGGACTAAAAAAATCTTGAGCGACCAGGATTCGAACCTGGGTTGTCGCGGCCACAACGCGAAGTACTAACCACTATACGATCACGGCCAGCGCGCTCACATCGATTGGGGCCGAAGTAACTGTGTCAACAAGCCTCCAGTCTTGTCGGTATCTTTAGAAATCATGTCCTCAATTTTATGGTCCTTTGGGCGTAATTAAATTAAGCTAATTACGGTCTCTAATTGCTAGTTTTTATGATTGCATCTGAAATTGTTAGGCGAAAGTAACCTGCATGCCAAATTTCAGATCTATAGAGCAATCAGAAGTGGGCTAATTTTCGATGTCAATTTTAACAACAAACACATCCACGCGAAGCTGAGTTAATAAAAACGTGTTAAAAACGTGTTAAAATGAGGGTACATTTGGTCTTTGTTTAGTATAGGAGAACTAATGTGTTGTTTAGAATAGCTGAGCTAATGTGTTGTTTGGTATGGCTGAGCTAATGTGTTGTTTAGAATAGCTGAGCTAATGTGTTGTTTGGTATGGCTGAGCTAATGTGTTTAGTATAACTGAGCTAATGTGTTGCTTAGTAAAGCTGAGCTAGTGTGTTGTTTACTCTAGCTGAGCCGAAGAAAACAAAAAACTGTTGGTCATGCGGTCTATTCAAGCAGGAGCCGGACAAGAGTGTGTGCCTTACGCCGGATCCGGCTTTACTCTATATAACCCGAGATGCTCATGAAGAGAATGGGCAAAGGAAAAGCGGCTTCAGATATAAACAAGTTGACCCAAATCACAGACCTCAGAACCTCTCATTTCTAGGGTTGTTCTAAATTTGTTCTAGATTCGTTCTAAATTTGTTCTTGATTGGTTTATAAAGTTGTTCTGGATTCGTTCTAAAGTTGTTCCAGATTTATTTTAATTTCATCTAGATTTTTTCCATTCTAAATGTGTTCTAGGTTTCTTTCAAATTTGTTCTAGATCTAAATGTGTTCTAGCTGATCTAAGTAAATGTGTTCTAGATCTAAATGTATTCTAGCTGATCTAAGTAAATGTGTTCTAGATCTAAATGTGTTCTAGCTGATCTAAGTAAATGTGTTCTAGATCTAAATGTGTTCTAGCTGATCTAAGTAAATGTGTTCTAGATCTAAATGTATTCTAGCTGATCTAAGTAAATGTGTTCTAGATCTAAATGTATTCTAGCTGATCTAAGTAAATGTGTTCTAGATCTAAATGTATTCTAGCTGATCTAAGTAAATGTGTTCTAGATCTAAATGTATTCTAGCTGATCTAAGTAAATGTGTTCTAGATCTAAATGTATTCTAGCTGATCTAAGTAAATGTGTTCTAGATC